CACTTCCCACTCCAGCACGTTATCGGACCCCGTTCCGTGGCTGTTGGAGAGGATCGAGTGGCCTCCACCCAGGCCGAATCCGCCTGCGATAGCCACAATGTGACAGACGCCGCCAACAAAGCCCTGTCCCGTCGTGTTGGCCGTAGCATACGCCTCAAACCCTTGAACGCCGGCCCCCGAGCTTGATGGCTGGCCGTTGTAGTAGGAGGACTCATAAGTGTAGATGAACTGGGTCGAGCCCAGGTTACGTGTCCACAGGGACAGTCCACCTTTTTCCCGTCGACATGCCCGCGTAATCATGGCCAGTATTTTTGATGACCAGCCGGATGTTTTGCTCCCTCGAAAACATGATCCCTCCCGTGACGTCCTCCGGCTGACCTCACATCGATCAAGTAGCTGGCGAGGTTGCCCAGTTCACAAGGCTGAGGCCTGGGATTGAAATGGATCACAGGTGTAGTTCTTAAAGTACATGCTGAAGGCCTCGGAGGTACTGTCGATGCCTGCTGATCCCACATGAAGCTCCGCATCAAGCTGTGGACCCCGTCACAACTGAGGACCATGTCACCAGTCTCAACAGTGCCGTCTGCAAGGCAGAACCTCCACCGGGTCTGGGAATTGCGTGACATTCTTGATGATCGCTTTGGTATGGACAAATGATTTTGTCAGGCAGGCCGTCATAAACAGAATTCTGCAGGAGATTGCGTCTTTCCAGGGGAAAGAAGCCAATACCAATGACTTATAATGTTAGATTGGGTGCATAACGTACACAACTTAATAAAATTGACGTACTTCTTCTCAGCATGGGTGTACAGTAGATTATCTTGTATCACCCGGCCATTCCGGCCCCCGGTCCAAAAAAAATGGTTCACTGGCACTGCGTCACATTGAACCGGAGGGAGATAGCTGAGTTGATGGGGACCCGTAGGCCACGTGGCTAACATGGAGATGCCATTGCCCATTGACAGCGCAACCTCAGCATGCTTCTCGAGCACAAACATGATTAATGCCGAACCGCTGGAGGCAGTTGGAGGCCTACCATCTGGCCACACCGGCCCCAACACAATGATTAGGAATGGACGTTGAGTTGACAGTTGTATGATCTGAGTGACTCGGTGACTGTCAATCTATGAGCAAATACGTCAAGAGGAAGGTGTAGGCGTTTATGCAAGCGAACTGCTGGTGATAGTGAGGCCCGTCTTCCTGCTTTCTGCAAAAGGGATGGGGTTCGGCCGATGGATGCCGCATTTTCAGTCCTGCAAGATCAAATAAGTTGCCATCAAGCTTCTTTAATTCTACCGAATAATGTAGTACAGCATACGATCTGGAGGTGATCACTGATACTAAAACGAGCTGATGTTTGCACCCCGTACGTGGAAATAGTGGCAATAGCTGACGATAGTTGTTACAGTTATAGGTGAGTCATATTCCTTTGTCCAATTTGTACAAAGAGTGTCAGGATGTATTTATAGCCCTTAGCCCATGCTTATAATGTAAGCAACCCCGGGGATGACGTGTCTCTTGCATTTCTCAATTCATCATCTCTGTCGCAGTTTGCATATCGCTCATTCAGTCAACAGTTAATGATCATCAATACCTCTTTTGGACCTAGACTTCGTTAATATATACAAGGGTGCAACGGGTGACGGCGCTGAATCTCCATTGAATGCGCTCGCAGTATCTTCAGATGCTCCAGATCCCGACCTATTTGCTTGCAACTCAATCCACACCGCCATCATGAACATCATCACTTTCATGCAAAACCGTCCTCGACTTACAGGTGTGGTCTCATTAGCTGCGGCCGGCAGCATCGTCGCCGCATACCTTGGCAAGCGACGCCTTGACCGGTCATACCCGAGAGTCTCCATCAAGGAACTTCCAAAGTCAAGTGCATGTCGCAACCTCGTGGAGAGCAGCGAAGCGGTCCCGAAGTCTGTATGGGGGATGGAAAAGTCAGCTCTGCTGGCCTCATGGTCTGGTGGCAACCAAACCCGCTGGGTCCCCTCCTTCGCAGCCTTCAAGCGGATGTCCCCGTGTCCCTTCTCGCTGGGTACGGAGCATTTGACAGTGAACAGAGTAACACCGAGAAGGATGATGCGCATCATCTGATGCAGAATCTAGTTGCTGCCTTTCTTGATGCGCGGGCCGCCGGGCCGGAGGCGTGGTTTCTGGACAAAGAGGTGCCGCCACTGTCCTTTGCGCCAGGTAGTCTGTTATTCGGCGATCAAGGCAGCATGGGAGCCTTCATGCTTGGGACCTGGAGTACAAATCAGAAGTCTTCTATCCAGCCTCACGCTCTTGGTCCAGAAGCACCCGAGCCTTGCTCCGAGTTCCCGTCAAACAGGGACGCGATCCAAGATAGTCCCACCGACACAGCCGGAGCCGTGATGTACTGGAAATTTCCCGACGGGCTGGTCCGAACAGTGGACAAGGCAGCATCGTATGGTCTACCGTGGCGGTTCATGGATGGCGGATTCCAAGAATTCATTGTGGAAAGGGGTGTCAGATGGAATGGCCAGGGTGACATACATCAGTGTTGAATGCTCTAACCTCCACCCGGGCAGCCAGTCTACAAGGGATTTCAAGATGTTGCCATGGCTGGCTTATGAGCTTCACGTATTATATGCACAACTCCTCTGGCATAATACGGTGATGCAACTTCGTAACCGCACGAAAACTTGAGTTGATTTTCTACATTCACATTATGATAGAGAGTAGTAATAGAGATACCCCTCCGCTCATCTTCCCTACTGCTTATGTCCTATACCCGTGCATATCCAGACGCTTAGATATTGCTGATAATCCCTCGCTGACCATATCTTCCTGAATTCTCACTAGATACGGTAAATGACTTCGGGGTGATGTCAGCTTACCACTGTGGCTTATCCACGGGGAAAAGCGGACCGCTCTGCCCGCACTCAGCCGCTTGAGGACGACTCCGTTAAACAATAGGCAGAAGAAAGCATCGGAGGTGTATTTTCCGTTGATGAGACTTTGTCCCACATTCGGCGCAAGTTTTGGTTTTCCTCTTAGTGGATATAACTACCTTAAAGTAGCCGGTGATAGATGACAGTATGTGGCGCAATCATCCCAGACAAATCGCCCATTTGGACCTTTACTCAGCTAAGAACTATCACTAAGGAGCATGAGCTCCGATCCCTCGAAAACGGGTGGTCTAGCCGTTGAGAGCTTCCCAACCACGCAGCCAGCCATTGGATCAAGGTACGAGATAGTGGATGTCGTATCAGCGGTCGACTGATGCTTCTCTAGGCCGGACTCGCCGGTCAATTGCTCTGTGGGGACATCTACGCTGGCTAGACGCTCGTCGGTGTTGTAAGTTCCCCCGATCGAGAATATCACACTGTAAAGGACACTCCTGACAACCTCAGCCTCTCTTCCGCGGTACTATCTCTGCATTTGCAAAAAATTATCATAGGTTGTTAATTGGGGGAAATTGTAATGTCCGCTTCTGGCATGACTCGCTGGCTTGTACTTTTTCAGCGTGCGCTGGCCCGGCAATGTCCGTCTTTGCAGACAAAGAAACCAGCCTAGGGGCCTCATTGGGCAGTAAGGATCGATTTATCCAGTCTCTCACACTCACTGGGTGATCTCAGATGAGACTCCTGTTTTGTTTGCCTCCGATATGCCCCGAGTTGTCCATGCTTATCGTAGTCTTTCTTCCCATCCAGTCCTTGTCTGGATCCAGTATGGGGTTAAAGAAGGGGTGGAATTATCAACAAGCCGCAATTCTGTATTACAGAGCTGTTTCGTTCTTTTAACTCCAATCGTCAGTCTCGCATGTTTTTCAATGACCGTACCCTACGACCCTCTGCCTACACCCGTCATGGCCGTCACAACCAGGATCATGGCTGAGAGCCTGTCTGAAGAACGCATACCGCAAGCCATTTCCAAAAAGCATGACGAGTCCATTGTGAATCCTCTCAATCCTCTTCCTCAGCGGCAACATCGTGGATGGCGTTTCTGGGCCGTTTTCCCAGGCCTCTGCTTTGCCATCCTTCTTGCTGCCCTGGACACCTCCGTTCTTGCCACTGCTCTCCCGACCATCGTGGACCAGCTGCACTCGGGCTCGCTTTATATATGGACAATCAACGCGTATTTTCTGGCTGTGGCTGCGGTCCAGCCTATCGCCGGCCAAGCGTCCGACATTTTCGGTCGGCGATACCCTATGATCATCTCCGTCGTCCTCTTTGCCCTGGGAAGCGGGCTCTGTGGCGGAGCGAGCACCACTGAAATGCTCATTGCCGCGAGAATCGTGCAGGGACTTGGAGGCGGGGGAATCTTTGTGATGGTCGATATCATCGCGGCTGATTTGGTAGCCCTTCGGGAGAGACAGAAGTTAATGAGTATCATCATGGGCACCTTTGCCCTGGGGACGTTTATCGGACCTGTCCTGGGAGGCGCCATCGTCACCAAAACGACCTGGCGGTGGGTCTTCTACATCAACCTCCCTGTAGCGGGAATTGCCCTGGTCTTAGTGGCTCTGTTTCTGAGGGTCAAATGGAACCGAGAGGGCACTCTCAAGGACCGACTTGCTCGCGTGGATTTCTCCGGGAATATGATCCTCTCTGCGGCGATTGTAGCCATCCTGATTGCCCTTACCCGGGGAGGAACCACGTATACTTGGAGCTCGTGGCACATCCTCGTCCCGCTCCTAGTCGGCGCTCTCGGCCTGGTTCTATTCGGCCTGCATCAGGAATATATCGCGCGCGAGCCGACGATGCCGCGTCGCGTGTACAGCAACACCACTTCTCTGGTGGCCTACATTCTCACTTTCCTGCACGGGATCATCATGTCCTGGCTCTCGTTCTTCCTACCGGTTTACTTCCAGGTGATGCTGCGGGCCAGCCCCATGAGGTCCGGGGTGGATATTCTCGCCATCGTGATCCCTCTCATGCCAGCTGGCATCGCGGGTGGCCTCATGGTGGCCATCACCGGCCGGTAAAAGCTCACTATCATTCTCGGCTACAGTCTGATTGCCGTCGGGGTTGGTCTCCTGACCCTCCTGACTGACAAGTCGAGTACGGCGACATGGGTCATCTTCCAAATCATCACAGGAATCGGCGGCGGGCTGTCGCTCACCTCCACGCTGCCTGCTGTACAGGCTCCGCTGCCAGAGAAGGACGTCGCCATCGCCACCACCAGCTGGGCATTCGTGCGAAGTTTTGGCGCCATCTGGGGCGCCGCCATCCCCGCCGCCGTGTTCAACTCCAAGTTCGACAGACAGCTGTCTCACATCAGCGACCAGGCCACCCGCGCACTCCTGGCTCGTGGTGGGGCATATGAACATGCCACCAAGGTCTTCATTGAGACCTTTGACAATAATCCAACCGTGCAGCGTAAATCCTGGATGTCTATCAGTCATGCTTGAAGCTCGTTTGGCAGGTCTTGCTGGCGTTCGCCCTCGCGGCGTTTCCCCTTGCAGTGTGGATCCCGCAAGTGGAGTTGCGGAAGGAATTGGTGACGGAGTTTGGACTGGACGAGAAATATGACGAAAAGAAGAGACGTGAAGCCATTGAGCAAGAGACAGGAGTAGAGCTGTCGAATCGAAGCACTCACAGGGGCGACTAGTCGTAAGCTTCAATCAAGGGCAAGGCACTCAGGCGATATAGACATCAATATTCCATGATAAATGTACATTAGATGATAAATATTTACTCTCCTCTTTTTAGCAAGGCCCGAAAGTTGTTTTCAACTCTTAAACAAATAGGAATACCTAAATATATCTGTATATTACATCCTGCCTTTGTGATAAAGAGCCAAAATGGAAAATAAAAAATGCTGTTTATCGAGACTCATAGTGTCATCTATCTACTTCTATAAAGAATCTCTCATTTATTTCTAATAGAAGTGTTCTAAAGGGTTACGGCTAATAGTTGGCTGCTTGATATATGTCATCCATCTAATACCTATAGATCAAAACAAATGTGTTGATATCAATAAATTGTACTCTTGTGTCCACATTTATCGCAAATGGGAAGTTACATGATTCTTCATAATGCAACATACAAGAAACAACATCACATATTACTATTCCGTAGGCCTACGCGCATTAAACCCGTCAATAATCATAGATTAGAGCTGAAGAGTTTTAGCATTGTCAGAATCTATCATCTCCAATTTTCTGATACCTCACCCTACGAACCACCACAGATCTGTTAATTCTCTCCACAAGAAAGTCATATAACCTTTCCTACTCTAGCTATTAGGATGAAGTCTGTTTGGCAGAGGGTTGGATACTTCTTCTGGTTTACTTTCCTTTGGAGACATGTTCCAGTTGGACTCCAACGTTACGATGGCATAGTCGCAGCGAGAACAGCACATGCATTGTTCACGAATAGAGAAGGGCATGTGATGCTTGAGCCATGGATGTAATATCCATTTGACAAATACTTTGCACCTTAACAGAGGCAAAAACATGCATGGTACATATCCCAAAACTATCAACGCTTAATTACTTCATAATTGTAGACCTTCTCTTGTTATATAACTTCTATTATGTCTACTGTTTTCATACATGTTAGCACCAGCCAATTAGCTGAGGCTAACTGAGCACAAACATACGCATTCATATCACACAATTTCTTTCTTGTTCCCAGATCCCACTTCTTCCATGATGAGTGCACTGAGACTGTGGGGCTGGCAGCTCGCGGGGCACCAGTAATGTCGTACGGTCCGTCCCGGCCGAAGCACTACTGCAACCGGCACAGAATATGGTTACGAGATCCTGCGTCCGACTGCTTCCTTCAAGGCGGCGGGTACGATCGCTCCGACGTCAAAGATGTCTCAGACGTCAAATAAGACTCCTGGTCTGGATCCTAGCAACTACCAAGTATTTTGAGCATTTACGTGTCTGTCTTCCACAGTCTGACTGTCTGATTGATATGCCAAGGCCGCGCCGCATTCCAATGTCTGTGGGTGTATAACTAGTTTTCCGTCTTTTTCTGGGCTCGCTCTAGTTAATGCTGTTCCTCAGGTCCCCAGATATGCACTGTTTCATAGGGTCATTGATATCCAGAGAGCTCTAGACAGGTCTTTGTGGTCTCCGCATGCGGATGCTTCTAGGTTGAAGAAAATGCTTATTAAGAATGCAGACCACCTCACTATATGATTTGTCATATATGCACTCCTACCACTAAGCTAAAATGGTGTCCTGATAAACTTCCAGCTAATAGAGATGATAGTGAAGTAACAGATAGACAACATGATCTGCATAGTCGCATATTTGTGAGGATCGAAATGTGATAGTTGCAGTCCCGCCAGACAGAGGAAAGAACTCTCAATTACAGTGCTCCGAAATGCGCTGAGTTGGCCCAGTTTCCCAATATACCGTCTTAATGGCCTGTAGTCGCTCCAAAACTTCCTGAGCGGACTGTGTCCAGAGTCATGGGATAGATAGATAATTAATTTCGCTAAGTGGCGACCTAATGAAACAGGCAAGCCATACATAAAATGAGAAAATTGAGAGGATACTAATTCATGGAGCAAGACTGATACTGTAAGGTGCATCGGATTTCTTTGCCAATCATAATGCTTGATCTTCAAACGTTTGTCTACGGCAAATCCTAATATTTGAATCTAAAGTTGGCCTGGAGTGTGAATGTTGTCTAGGCTGTATAGTATCACCAGAAGTACAGGTTTGAAATCTGAATTAACATTCCAATTTAGACTATTGTGAGGAAATACCCAATAACATGAAAAACCCACACCAAGCCTAGAGTCAGGAAGCAATTTATCATAGCCCGGAATTACCACATGTCCGCCTGTAATATCATCCCCTCCAAAGGTTACCTGCAGAGCCACCAGGACATAGAAATCTAGGTCCATTATCAGCTCGCCGGAGCAAATGGCTGCAAACCAGCATTTACCATGCTCTTTACCGCCACAGATCAGGTCTGCTTGGATCTTCGAAAGCGCACTCCACAGATAGTTAGCCGGTATTTAGGAAGAGCATCAAGAAAATAGGTCTCTTACCACGCCAGGGCCGCCAGGAATTGGAGGTCTGCCGTAGGCCCCACAGATTCCGAGACAATGGAGCCCGTCTGCGCAGGGGTGCTGAGTACCAGTGTGGCATATTTCACCAGGTCCGGGAAGATGTGTCCATGCTGTAACACATGTCACCATAGCAAGAGCTAGAAGCTTCATTTTGGCTGCTGAAGACGAATAAGGGATGGATGTCTGTCTTGAATACCTTTTAGATTGTGAGAAGTGAACATAGGAGTTATTGGGGAATTGATAGAGAGCCTGCTGAGTTTTTATATCCTTTCCCTCCTAGTCCAGTATCACAGCTGCAGTTTAACTGCGGAAGAAAAGCCTATACTTTCACACCCCAGGGTGTGATCGACTGTATGACAGCGTATGACGCTTCACACTCTTACTTCATGACTTTAGACGCTATCTGGCAGGATGTGGTTGAAATACATTGACTGACGTGGAGATCCTGTTTTAAGCAAATGTAATAGCACAAGTATGATGAAAGCACGAAGGACTTTACGCATTGCCTTTAACAGGACATATTCTCCATGGAACAGGGATGTCTAGGCCTGTCTTAGGCTTGAAGCTGAGGAGCTTAACCAGGTATGATGAATGAACTTGTTTTCATACCTAGACTTTAGTGACAGCGAACCCCAGGAAGCAGATATTGTGCCAGTACGGAAATAAGAAAATACGCATATACAACCACTCTCAGGTGTGTGGTTCCAGTTCTCCTGTTTAATCTGAACGATGTATTACGGTGGGTTACAGCCAATGTAAGTCTATGAGTATTTTGTGTAACATATAAAGTTAACGGAGATTGGGACCAAGTCGATGTGGAAGGTTTCTTGCCGAAAGGAAGAATGAGTCGGCATGGCACATCGGGATGCTCAAGAACGAGCTACGAAGGGCCTAAGACACACAATGGTCCAATTCATGGATACAATCTGTAATGTAACGCAGTTTGCAAGAGCGTTTTCTACGTCTAATGAAGAAATATTGTCCACTAGAATAGGGCTTCAGTCACAGACAATCATGAACAGAGAGTCGTCATGGGCTAGGTGGATACAAGAATGGTGATATACATTTAATTGTCGCTCAGTAGCCAGACTTTGATATGAAACAACTTGGATCGCCTGAAGGTTGCTTGATGACTGTCACTACCAGCAGCGTGCTGTCCGCGGAAAAGGCAATACCTCTAATCCAGTTCTGTATTGGCTAGGGGCAGGGAAGTTGCTCCAGAATATGTTTACCTGACATGAGGGCAGAACATCTATGGCCCAGTGTCTCAGTCATGACACATCCCAGAGCATTTCAGGATGTGGTCCGGCACATAAAATATATGTCCAATTTCAGCGCATCTAAAACCAAAGAAGCATGGTAAGAAAAATTTAACGCAATGAATCAAACTACCTCTTCCAGTACAGACGGGGTGCGATGTAACCCAGTATATCGGCAAGGAAATACCCCATAATAAGTGCCTTGGTTGCTCTTAGAGGGCTGGACATAAACATTATCGCCACCACTGTTCCTAGGTAAGTATTGAAAAGTTGATATCCTGGACTGTTAGAGACTCCATAATTTGGTAGTATAGCTGATTATTTCCATACTGTTGCTGATGTCGGCTGGTATTCATTGGCATTCAGGCTCTGCTCTTATGTACTTTAGTTTATCTTTGGCAAGCTATAGAAGCTATTCTCCATCTAGTGTATATTCTTGCTCGCCTAGGTTATCTTCCTAGTGGGCTCCTTGCTCTGCTTAACAGCTATAATATCGCCCCATGTTTATGGTTAGGAGAGCTGTGACCGGCACAGGCTTTGTGGGTATTATTAGTGGATTCTTTACCAATCTTATGTATATCTTGCCTCTCTATTAATGGCTATTCTTCTGTGGCATCTTGGGTATTATCAAGAGTGTAGCCATTCTTGCTGCACCTTTTATTAGTAGACTTATGACCTAATTACTTAGTTAGTGCTGGTATTTCTGGATAAATCTGCCAATTAGAGGACTTATGCTTTTAATGACTATATTCTTATTCCTAGACCTAAAACCTAGTGACATGAGCATTACCTTTAAGCAAGAAGCTAGTTAAACATAATCTACTAAGTCCCAGCACTGACTAGTCTATTTATTATGCTTTCTTAGGCCACATGAAGTACCCCTGGGATAATAATAAAGTAACAAAGTTATTAGCCCTCTTGTCACCTTTACTATCCTTATTATTACTTTTTGCTCTAACTAATACAGGTAAGGTGATGCAGCCATTTTACCACCCTATATTATAAAGAACCATAATATTATTACTGCTTCTATCTTTAAAATGTGCTCTAATAGCACTTCTAATATGCTTGAATATTACGTACCTACCTACTATCAAGTTATACGCGAGTACTCGCCTAGTAGAAGTAGATATATGATGATTGTAATCATAATTAGTGCTACTATTAGAATACTCCTCTGTGGGTTAGGGCCCAGCATAATTAATTACTATATGCTATTTATGCTCTTTTCTTTAATGTTAATGCCCATCTTTGCAGGCCTTATAATGACTTTATGGGTAATATGAGCTTTATATGACTGATTCTGTACTCTGGGGTATACAGATTCACAAGGCTTTAATACACCAATTAGTACTATATAAATGGTGCTGCCCACTAATGATATCTTACTAGGCCTCTCTATTATGCTCTTTACATAGCATTTTAGTCCCACTATGTCTATTGCAATAGCTCAAGTCATTTTTATGAATGAACTCTTAACTAACCTAGCCTGAGTAGTTTGAGATCCGGATCCTGTCACTATTGATTACCACAGGCTATTGGAAATTGTGGGATGTGCACACAGGGCCTACATGAAGATATTCTTATAGATGTTGGTAGAAGTGTTAGTAAGATATGGTATCTATCTGTTGGACTGACGAGTGCGCCGTTGATTGGAAGCTTGCTCATGGAGTGGCGGTCAGTCAAGCAAAAGAATACTTAAGTCATTAGAGACAACAGTATAAACGGATAAAAAACCTACCTGCAAGAGCGGCTTCGAATAACCCACATCATATTGAAGCTCAGATTCCGCAGTGACATTCTGGTTTCTAGAGATATCAACATGAGATTGGGAAAACATTGGACATTCACAGGCTACCAACTAACGATGCAAGCGAGGAGCTAAGGGCGCTGGATATAGAGTTTGTTTTATATACGAGTCTTTCCGTCTAACTCGCCCTTTTCTCGGTCCTTTACTTCTCGGACCTGCTGACTCAGTGCAAGGAGCTGCTTCTTTAGACTCGCTATCGCCCTCGGCGCTATCCCTTTGGCCCCTTCAACCTCTTCGTAGACGACCTCGAACCTCACGTCACCACTGGCTCGTATTTTTGTTCCGGTAGCAATAGTCCTGACCAAAGTCAAGACGTCCCGTAGAGGGACACCGAGACTCTTTTCCTCCGGAATAAAAGTATCCCAGTGCACTTGATGAAAGGTGTCGTTCAATTCTTCAGTCTCTTTGGGCAGCGTAAGGTCGAATATCAAATGAGAAAAGGGCGGAATACTCGTTATTGCCCGTCTCCACGCCCTACTAAGTGGCTGGATATTAAGGAATTCGTTTTCGGAAGTGAGAAGCCCATTATCGTTGCAAATCCTGCAGGCTTCAAGCAATTCGGCGTTGACTAGAGGCTGGAGCAGAACTAGCCTTGCCTTCCGCGTCTGTGATTCTGGCTGAGGTGCGCCCCCTGAGGCTTCAGTGCTCGGGCTAGAGACCCCAGGCGTAACGAGAAAGTTATCAAGGAGACTAGGCTCAGTAATACGTTCTGCCTCGAACATGCTGATGGTCAAATATGGTGCATCCAGCATTTGAGGAAAGTGAAATAAACCATCTGGAAACTAAGTAAAGAACAGGACATCTTATGTAGGTGACGTCAACCTCGTGATTGAGAGGGGTAAACGCTCAGGTCCAGAATCTGTATGGATCCTTGCATGAGGAGCAGACATCCCTGCTATGTACATGCCGCGTGAATGCATACAACTTTAAAGATCATTACACTTAATTATTATATTCTGCATAGGTGTAAGTAGTGGTTAACTTAACTATTAGCTTTACCTAAGGTGTGATAATAGGATAGTAGGCTATAGGAGAGAGGTATCTATAATTACTTTAGCTACTATCTCCCCTTTATTAGAGATATAATTTTAAAGACATACTATAACTTAACTTTAGGAGGATTAACTCTCTGTAGAGAGATAGGATGAATAACCAGGAACTAAACTATAGTAGAGAACAAAATAGGATTTAATCTAGGATAGATTATAGGGATAATAATTTAATTAACTATTTGTCACACCCTGGGATCCGTCTCTGCTGTTCTCTGCTAGTCAACTACTTTAGGAACGGGGTGATATAGTTCTTAGACTATATCTAATACTTACCTAAGGCCTACTGAGTAAGGTAGGACTATGGGGGACTATGGACTTCAGAGTAGATGGGAATTGAATGTAGACTCTGCTCACTACACCTTATGGTCACTCCTAATTATTAGTATGGTAACCATGAACTCCGCGCACGACACTGCTAGTAGAGATTAATCCTGTAGATAATAAGTATATATTTAAATTAATACACAAGCTGTAGGATGCATTGGTAGAGTTAAGGATGTGAAATCCATACTAGGGTGACATGGGATAGCCACTGAAAATCCTCCCTGCATCTGTGCCCCGTCATCGCGGTGGACCTAATGTGTGACATACATATGACACCCCACATGAATAGAACCCTTTCTACCATTGCCGGTGCAGCATCCAGTGTAATACACAGTGTGTACATTGTGTGCAAGGTATTCCTGCTGCTAGGCCCAGGCTGTTGACAGGTACAGGACTGCGTCGTCCTGGTAATCTTTCACTATAAGGCATTCACCAAGAGCAGGGAAAGTGGGCGTACAGTGCAGAGATAGGCAGCTATCCTTCCATAATCTGTCCCATACATCGTTTCCACGCATTGTAAGGCGTCGGAATGATCAGGCCGGTACCCTGCACCTTCGCTGCCGTTGACCCAGTTTCCTTCACTGCGGTATTCCGAAGACGCGAAGTCCTCTGTTGGGAAGTTGACGTGCATTTCGACTGTCCATACCCAGGTTAAGGATAATATTCGATAAGAGAGAAGTCCAGTTGGGCAGCCTCAAGCGCTCATCAGAGCGCTTTTGCATTTATCTGGACTTGTGCTCGCTGTACGCTGATTATGTATACCTCAATATGCGACCAGACCGCACATCAGAGCCACATAAACCTCAGTAGTCTGAATTCAAGACCAGCTTTTCCTGTCCGCCTCTCAAGTCCTTCACGAATTAACGTCATTTCCGCGCCTGCCGGTTGTAGTACTTGTATTATAATTCGTCCATCATATCTATCAGGTTCGTTGACTAAATCTCCTCTTCCTCCCGCCGAGAAATGAGAGGAAGCAGCTTGTGATAAACTATATCTTGTGGTGCAACCCAGATTTACAATGATAGGTGCATATCAGACGCCCATGAACGCATCGGACGGCGGAACATGTTTGTAGATCTCCTTGAAATGGAGCTGTATTGATGAGCTATCGTTTGGATATGAGGTGCTAGCGCATCAGCACCTTAGAACTGTTGTAATAGCTTGGGGAAGTGAATTGGAGTCTACAAACGCCGCAAAGCGGAACTAATATTGTTCTACTGTCCCAGACTGTGCAGACCAGCACAGGTTTTATTGAATAGCTTGAAAATTATTTTCCAAAAGCTGCCTTTGCATTTGCATAACAGTATAGGAAAACCTAATAGTAGGGGAAAACCTATACCAAGGCAGAAATAATACTACATTAATAGACCTTTTCTTCCAATCAGCCATACAGAAACAGATGTCCACCAGGTCAACAAAAGGGCTTTTTTTTTTTTTTTCAGAAATATAGTAGTGAGGCTACCCAGAGGTTAGTAAAAATGGCATTGAACAGATCTCAAGCGAATTGAGACGCGAGCAAAACCATAATAATCTCCTGCGGATGTTTATGAGCAGCCTACAGTCAGGCACAAATCCTGGGTTACAGAAGTTTGTCCAGACATATATCTGGTTTGTTGGGTACTCCACAACATCTTAAGCTGCAAAAGACTTACCATATATACGCGATCATTTGTAACAAAGAGCTTTCCCTTGCGAGCCACACTTATCGTCGCACTTCTTTACATAGTCCGGGTAATAGATGTTTTCGCAATAGTAGATGGCTTGATCGTTGTAGTGAGGGAGATTGTTAAAGCCTTAGTTCAAGTCAGCAACTAATACTTTGCCTTCCTCTGTTGTATATTGGTGTTGTGCTTACCAAGTTGACTTTTCAAATACCAGCCACAATACGCGAAGCCACGCTGGCATTGCGGTGCCATATACACTTCATAGGCCGGATGACTAGCCGCAAGGGCAGCGGTGGAAAGACATAGAGCGAGTAGAGAGAGTTTCATCATGACTATTTATTGGAATCTTGATTCCTTTTAAACGTTGATTAGGGGTTAACACGCAACATCAGTCGCATATGAGGGAGAATATCTCCTTTTATAATCTCTGCCTACCGATTCAACCCATTCAACAAAGGAAGGTTTCTAAAGTTGCCACCTCAGTTGACATCACCTAGTATGCTGGTGTTTACCAGTTAATGGAAGAACAGCCCACTGCCATGTAAACCTGATACTGAGTAACTAGTATATCAAACCCTTTTCATAGTACCCTAAATATCGCCACTCTCTACCGAGTGCTCCGGAGGAGAATCATAATGACTTACAAGCCGTGACGTAGTTTAAATATTCGACCAGTATCCCATGGTCGTCTGTAAATTAACCTTCAGAGGTTTGGCGTCATTTAAATACAATTTTCCGGCTTAAGAAGAAAAGATTAATGTTCAACAATACGTGCCAAATATTGAGTCTAGCTAATGTTAACAGGAAGTCAATAGACTTCGCTCAGACCCACTGGTGACCCTCAAACGCCTTACCCGCATCCGGGAAACCACAGGTCACCCCGCAAGCACTGGAAGTATGCACCGAAACAGCAAGATCCATGCCCTAGGCTCACCCTCAACGCAACGCGGAGCGGTGAGGGTGAGCCTAGGGCATGGATACCTTATATCATAAAATCATTTTATTTGTATTAATATTTTCCCTTTCATGTCCGTTGTGTATATAATGGGGAGATCCTTGAAAGATTTCGGACAGAGTATTTTATTTACAAGTATCTGAGTGCGAATCGCTTCAAATTTATGGGAAATGGCCTAACTCTCAGGGATGAGCGCGGAGAGGATCTGGCGTATTAACTTACAAAGTAGGTCAAGCTCTAGTTCCAGACTGGCAAGAGTCCATTGCTGAGTATCTAGATATGTGTATTCACCATTTGAGAAAGTTGTTGAAGCGCCTTTTGATTTTAGCATCTGACCTAGATAAGAATTTGACCTATTTCGCGCTTGTGGGTCCACACGATCTTGGTGGACCACTTCACAAATAAAATTCTACAGAATCGCTCCCGTTCAGATTGAAAGATTCTCGGTCATCGAGCTTCGACATGCATGGATATGGTTTTTTGCCTAATGCTTATGTCGCCGTGTCGACTCTCGCAGGCACTGTTGCGCCGTTCCACACCTAACACACCCATAATGAGGTAGTGTCAGACTGTTAGAGGATACATCGACGACCTTGAGTTCAACAGTGTTCTTATGGTTCCGGCTTGAGAAAAGGCCTCAAAGGGCGTTCAACACTTCAATTGGGGATCGTTAGACCTTCATGTGGAAAGGGGCATGTAATATAGTTTATCAACCTTGCCTCTTGAATCTACGTTTAATGATTCCCCACTCTTACAAATCCATATGAGAAAAGTGAAGCTAGCATAAGCGTCTCATGTAAAATAACAATACTCATTTCCTTAAATCTCGCCGACCCATGCACAAGATCAGCGGAACCTGGAAAATTCTTTTGACTCTTTGCCAGATATCTGGCCACGCCCTCAGAAGAAGACTTATCATAGGGCACCATTGCCTAATACATCATCCTTGTTACATGTTGAAAAGCCAGGGGGATGTGGCTCTGCTATGTTTGCGAGATTTTAGACCGTTTGAACCATGTTGGCATAAATCCTGTCACTAAACATATGGTTAACCTTTACCTGGTGGCCTTGTTTTAATTCCAAATCTATTTTTGTCTTTCTAATATAGGTACGCTTGATATGTATGTCATACGATGAGACCAGAATTTCAGCTTTACGTGGTTTTGCAGCTGACCAGTCTGCAAACATCCTTATCAGGAGTCACCAGTATTTTAATACATTAGTTAGTTCTTGTGTAGTTGGTCTAGATTTAAGTAGACATTTGTTCCAGCTTTTCAAATTGCTCCTTGCAAGCCTAACTGTTTGTTCGCAGGATCCAATATTCCAGCACTAGGGTTGACACATCTGACATGGACGAGCTGGATCCACTTTCCTCGATCTTAAGTGAACTTTCGACACTGGTTTGCCTCTCTCCGTATGGACCTTGATGTGCTATAGAGCCGGTAGCACTATGATCGTCCCAGGAATCTATATAAAGACCCTGTTCAGTCTGCATCCTTCCATCATTTCGTGCCGTCCATGACTCCAGTTACTATCAGATCATCAGTTTCTACAGACTATCTTAAAGGAATCATCGTTCACTATGTCGATGAAGATTGAAGGTTCCGGTGGCAACTTGCACTTTGTTCGTTGGAATGCCAAAGCAAAGAGGATACTCTTACCCATTGGTGGGTGCACTGATCCAAGTGACGCCTGGATGGAACCTACTGCAACCATTTCCACCAAAGCAACTGGACCTGCTTCTTTGATTCAGAGTACCTATGGGACCCCTGAGTATCCCAGTAATTTCGAGCTCGTGGCACCTGAAGGTAACAATCTTGTCCACTGCTGGCGTCACAATTCCGCCGCCGGGAAACGTCACTGGCATGGACCTACCGCAACCATTACCAGGCGACGGGCCCTGGTGCCCTAATCCAGAGTACTTACACAGACTCGGTGTGAACGCACGCGGCAACTTCGAGGTGGTCGTTCCGGTAGGAGGTTCACTTGTTCACTTACTACCGCGACACTCGGGAGGAAAAACTGGAACGAGGTTGCTAACACCACGGGAGGAGACACATGGCTGTCTTTAATCCAGAGCGCTTACGGCACTCCGGACAATCCTGGCAACTCTGAGGTTATAATCCTGCAAGGGAACCTTGTCCACTGGTTAAGAAATAACACTCAGGGAAGGCTTGGTCACAGACGGCAACAGTTGTTCCGAATGCTGACGGCCCTAACGCGCTTATCCAGAGAAGCTATGGAGAGGCGAACGGGACACCGGCAATTTCGAGGTTATAACAAATGTTAATGGAGAGTCTACACACTACTATCGTGTGAGCTCGCCTGACCGTATTTGGTATGCTGGTCGAGTGATTACCGCTGAGGGCCGGGGGAGTCTGCCATGGATGGATCCAAGAAAATAAGAATGTGCCTTGCTAGGCAGCTTTGGCGGTTTATTTCTTTATCTTTTATTTGTTTTTTATTTATTTATTTATTTATTTTTTATTTTTTTGGCCGTCTGCCTATTACAGGCCTGCCAGACGATGGTATGCTTTGAATAACCGTGTTGTCCCGTGAAGTCCTGGGTGGAACAAGAAATATCAGCTGAGAAGGAGGGACATTGTGTCTTCTGTGGGGAAAGCTATCCTCCTACCTATGTCTCTCGCTCAAACATGTGTGTCAATAATCGGTTATTTGTTTATTTAATGGAAATCATTTAGCCAAATAACTGGTTAGGCTGACCACGTATACAACTGGCATATGGGTATAATGATCTAAGAGAATTAAGACTAATAACAGTAGAGGCAGAAGGAGAGCCTGTTAGTTATGTATACTGAATAGCAAGTGAGTATCTAATGGACTGGGCTAGTGCACTCATAGTCTGCTATTAAGAATGGGAGGAGGAAAATATTCATGAGTATAAATTTACCGTTGGCAGGTCCATGCAGTGGATGCATGACACACGACTAACTAGTAGAGGCATTCAAATAAGCCTCTGTCACATGTTGTTTTATAAACAATCATTTCCGCTTCTTCCTGATCTATGCTTCAATATCCTCCATATCCTCCTGGCCTTGGAGCCACCTACTAACCGCGCTCAGTGGATATGTCAACATGGATTCTCCTGCCGTCAAGCCTAGACACTACTAGCAACGGTCCAGCTACACCACCAAGTAGCTCTTATCGAGTGATCAGTGCCATGGTATACTTACTCCGCATCATTTATTTCATGCATAGCCGCAGTGGCTTCGTCATCACAGCTAAAGCGAACAAAGTCAAAGCCTCTGGAGCGGCCAGTCTCTTTATCATTCACAATAGCCTATATTGACTTAGACAGTATGCCAAGAGGGAAAATGGCAGGGGCTGTTTACTTACTGCTTGTTCTACTGCCCCAAATTCCTTAAACTTCTGGCGCAGAGTAGCATCATCTGTGGTCCATGACAATCCACTAGTAAAGTTCATCAGCGTAGGCCTCAAAGCACGGACAGCTTAGTTTGGCACAACCCCAATGGATAACTTTGACAATTTGAGAAATGATTGGTTGGCAAGATAGTTACAATATATGTAGAGGGGTGTCTGTAGCGAGATGAAAAAGATGCAACCTATGTAGGATGTTTTCAGGGGGTGGTGTCCTATTAAACATAATAGCTGTTGGGTAAGTCTGCCTTTTGAGAAAAGCAATGTTAGCCAATTGTGACTAATATCGGTGGTCTCCTCAATCCCATTGGCTAGTAGATTCAACTGACAAATAGAGGCTCATACTGATGTGTGTGCGAATTGTTTGGCTGAAGATAATGGTACTAATGCAGCTTATTCCTGCTGAGTGGAACCACACCAGTTGCACAATCCCACAGATGAGAGGGATTTAAGAGTGCAGGCTTCCTCGCACAGACCATGGTTCGTGGTGGATCTCTTCACTGGCTGAACTCGTGTGAAAGCTGCCCATGGCTACCTGATAGTTTTCATGTTGTCTTCAATCAGGCGAGGGGTTATCTGCAAGCCCTAGTCGAGAAATCTGCCTAACAGCCCGATTACGAGATTCGGCACGGAGACGCAAGTTAGAGATTGAGACCATGGTCTCCAAAAGTCAGAGTGTGCCTCTCTTGAATTCCATTGCGTATTTGCACGGTGACTTTAAGACAGGTACACATGTAGATTGATATGGCGATGATTGCATTGGCAGGTCTATCTAGAGACCGACCCTTACCAAACTCTGTAGCCATATACTACGCAGAGGCTACGGTCACTTCTACCCCACCATTGGCCAGCTGCACCTGCCATCCTCCGCGCATTGCCTTGGCCTGCGAGGTGACTTTGTACTGAGTGCTTGTGCCAGGGCTCTCAACCCAGACGATTGCCGATGCAGCCTTGGACGGCCCGGGGACAAGCCGCAGCGTCACTTGCTTGGCGCTCGTTCTCGCGAAAGAAAACTGTTCAATCCAGCCGGAGCTGGCGACGATGTACACTCCCATGGACGCTATGTACACCCGCTGGCGAACTGCATCGCGCGGCTGCACTGTCACCGTTTGTCCATTCACTGCGAGGTTGCCGCCGTACGCAACGAGCCCCAGATCCGGGTCCTCGACGACGTACGTGGCGGACGCGAGCATAACACCCAAGAAATTTGGCCCGTAATCGCCCGAGTAGTCATCGCCCGCGAGAGTGTCGGGAAAGGAGTGGAAGGCGTTGTACATGGATCCGTCCTGGCGAATGCTGGTCAGGGGACCAGAGACACCGCCGTAGCCGACGCGGAGAAGGTAGGTGTCCTTGGGCTGCTGGCGGAATTGTGCGAGCAGGGGAATGGCGTTAAGACTGGAGCCATAGTGGTGGATCATACGTTCGATGCGCTGTAGCTTTCCGGCGTAGCTAAAAGGGAAGCATGTTAGGTTCTTGATGCTGGTGAAAGAGAGCAGAGCAGCGCATACATAAAATCCCAATAGCGCCGGGCATTTCCGTTCCAGCCCCAGTGAGAAACAGTAGGCATATATCCCAGAATGCTATTGATTGTCTTGGTCGCGGTGTTGGTGAATTTGAAATAGCTGTTCGCAAAGTCCTCTATCAGCTTGTCATCCTTCCAAGAGAGAGCAGAAGTGGCTTACTTGGACCAGTAGTACACACCCTCCTGTCCCGTCGAATCCCACGCCATCTCACTGCCAAACGGCTCTGCTTGCGAGTTCCACAGGTCTGCGCGTTTTTTCATGGACACCTCCACCGCATCTGCTTCCTTGGACCACCCTTCGCGGCGCAGATCATGGAGAAGTTCACCGACCACCGTCTCGCCCATCTGGCCAACCCGCGAGTATTGCACCAGCTCCCTGCCGGCGGAGTCGGTTGCAAAGCAAGCAATCGTGGTATTAACGGCGCGGCCGAGATACCACTGCCAGGTGTTTTGTTTCAGCAACCCCGGCTGGTCACGACCGGCGCGATACAGCGCCCAGTACGTGGCGACGACGTGGATATAATCAAATGAGCGTTGGGTGGAATAGGAATCGGCCTTGTTCCACGACCACCAGTTGCCCCAGTCGATGGACTTGCTGTACGAATACCCTGACACGGCGGAGGGCTCGTAGAAGAATATGCTTTTGCGGACCAGGTCACCCCCATTCTGGATCGTGCGGAAGAGCACCTTGCTGACGAACTCCTCCAGCTTGGCGATCTCGTTGGCATCCGGATGGGCGCTCTGTTTCATCGCCGTCGCCATATAGATGACACCGCCTTCGTCGCTCAGTCCCGCAATCCAGACGCGGGGATCCTGGAGGACGGGCTTTTTGGTAGAGGCATCATATGACATGATGGAAGGGGCGCGGCCAAAGGGATCCGACCTGTCAGTGAACCACATTGTTGAGGTGGAAAATTGGCCCAGACGGGCGACGGCGTCTGGGGCCGACTCCACAATGAAGTAGTGGACCGTTTGGGTCTTGCCATCGGCGTAGGAGATGGTGAGCCGGTTGCGGCCCCAGGCGGATCCGGTGGGAGTCAGCGAGAGCGCGTTCTCTTTCCGGGTGATGGCCAATGCATTATCCTCGCTGACCACCGAGGCGACGTCGGCCGGGGCGAGGATGCGCAGTTGAACGGTGAGGTCTCGGGGCACCACGTATCCCGTCCCAATCGTCAGGGGGGTGTTGGTGGCACGCACCGCCTTCTGGATACCGCGGATGCCGTCCTTCACCACTGAGAAGCGTAGACCGACAGTTGTAGACTGTCCGGCTTTCAGGATGCGCGAGGTGGCGGGATTCCAGGGTTTGGCCTGGCGCCATTCCGTGTCGGCGTTGGCCTTGGAGTGTACCAGCCACTCGTAGAATCCCTCGAAGGTTTGACTCCCGTATGCGGTGGAGTCAAAATAGGGCTCATCGATATCGTGCCACGCTTCAAACGGGGTGCTTGTGTTGCCCAAGGGTGTCACAATCAACGCTTCCCCCGTGCCAGACGTTGGTGTGACCTGCAGATAGCCAGCGTCCATGCCAATATAAGGGTCTGTCAGCGAGCACTTGGCCGACATCTCCTCCGGGGTCCGGTTGGTGAAGATACTGTTGAACTCGGTCGGGAAGCCGAGACTGCCAACTTCAATGTCATGGTCGGCAATATTGGTGACAGTGAAGGACAGGCCCAAGTCGCCGTCGACATCGACCCATCTACGGATGATGCGGAGTGGCGAGTTAGCAGGCAAAGTCGGGGTCAAGTCACCGGCTGCCAGGGCATCTTTGGCCTGGACGACGGTCACGGCCTTGCGAGACTTCGCGGAGTTTACCTCAACCCATTTTGTCTCCCCAGTGGCGCGGTAGCTGAAGGTGATATCCCCGTTGTGATATTGCTCATTCTCGGTGCGGACGGGGAGATAGTCAAAGGGGAGGAAATCAAAGGAGTTCCCCTTGGGTGTGAGAGATGCAAGAACCTGGGCGTCTTTGACGAGCTTCAGGTCCCAATTGGCCGTGGACAGGGAGATGTATCCATTTTTGAGGCCGATGTTGTCCTTTTGACCGCAGACGGTGAGAGCCAGCAGGGTGGTGACAACGCCCACGGTTGTGGAGAGACTATGCCAACCCATTTTTTATTCTTATTGCATATTATGGAAATGAGAACATTGAAAGCTTGATCTTCTTTGGCTTTTTTCAACCCTCTCTTTACCCTTTCGAAGCATGGCTAGCTTTGTATTTAATAATATCTCAGGCTTGACAATCACAATGATCGCTGCCCATTCCTTCTGCGGACATTTACAAATTAGAACCATCAGGGTTATGGGCCCATTCCTGGTCAAGTCAAATTGCGTCCTGAAGTGGTCTCTGCATGTCGATCTCTCCACATTATAGCTTCTAACCTTCCTGGTTGGGTATAAGACCGGCGGACGACTGGGATAAAGTGGGCTTCATCAAACCCCGCTTCAGCTAAAAAGAAACGGATGAACTCCCTATTCGCGGAGGCATTGTTGTGACGGAGTAATAAATGATGCATTAGATTTATTGGCCACGACGCCGAACACCTCCGGCGTTACATGGAAAGGAGGATCTACTGAGCATAGCTTCTAACTCGTCACCAATCCGCTTATCGTGAATATATTACTCTGAAACATCCTCACACATCCCGTCAGCTTTTCTGCAGCTCTGTCGCCAAAGCTTCCCATTCCTTCACGCCAACACCGGCAAACTGTCCGCCCGAGCCGGATGCGATCAGGGTGGCACGGATCGAGGTGGTGCGGATGGTTTGGAATTTCACCACCTGCGGAGTGTCGGTCACCTTCAGGGGATAGGGAGTGGTGTTGACAACAGGCTTCCAGTTGGACGACTGATCCAGATATTCCACGAACCATTTCTTTGGGGGCGCAACTCCCACGTTAGCCCGGCGGCTTGGTCGGCGAAGAAAACCATCGACGTCCCGTTGAGTTCCACAGATTCTTTCCACACATAGGTAAGCACGCTGGTCTCTCGGGACTTTTCTGCTTCATAGGAACTCCAGTAATCCGGGGGCAGCGGGTTGGCCCGAACGATTCCATCATTGACGGCCTTTATCCAGTACTGAATCCCTGAGGGATACTTCGAGCTGGCCACAGCTTTGGGCGCAATGTTGTATGTTGGAGGAGCTGGTGGCTTGGGTCCAAACGTCTGGACGACCTTACGGATTGCTGGTGGCGACTGATTATCGTCCCAGTTGAGCTTGTCCAGCGCGATACTGCGGCGGAAATGGCCGCCTCCTGTGGCGTCCGCCGTGTGGTAGACAAGGAACCATTCACCATTGAGCTCGATCGCGCCAGGGTGGGAGGTTGTCGAAGAGACGATGGGTAGAATGACATCCCGGAATTTCCACGGACCCAGCGGGGAGGAGGCTGTCGCATAGGCGATACAGGCGTGGTACGAGGTTGGTGTGCAGGGCGAGTCCGGGCCTGCGTTGTTGGCTGCGAATAGCAGATAGTAGACGCCCTTGCGCTTCATCAGCCACGGGGCCTCGAAAAACCCTGTCAGTCCGTTAACCTGAGTGACGGACGACCGCACAGTGACCATGTCCGCGTCAAGCTCATATGCGCGTAATGCGCCAAAGGTGCCAAAGTACATGTAGACCTTGCCGTCGTCGTCCACGAGCACAGTGGGATCGATGTTCTGGATGGAATTGCCCGGCGGAGGCACTGACTGCGAGATGATCGGGCCAGACGGGTGAGCATCGACATAGGGCCCGGTAGGAGAGTCGGACACCGCCACCCCAATAGCAAACGGGTCTGCATTCTTGCTATTGGCCTGTGTCACCGGAGCGTACATGTAGAATCGACCGTCGCAGCCTTGAACCACTTGTGCTGCGTATGAGGTCCCGGGAGCAGCCCAGGCGAACAGCTGGTGCGGCTCTGCGACTTTCGGGTAAAGCATCCATTCGGAGCCGGCAGTATTTGGTGTCGAGGAGACGAACATTCCCCACTGCTCCATGATAAAGTTGTTTTCATCTGGAGCAGCGCTGTCCCGTCCGGTGAGGATGTAGAGTGTATTGTTGACCACCAGAGGTGCAGGGTCGGCCGAGTACCACGAGCCATCTGAGAGGATTGGATTACCCTTGGAGATGAACTTGATGGGCCCGGACCCCGTTACCTGGGCTAAAGTAGTTGCGCTGAAAGCCAGCGCAGACCAGGCGATATGCATTCTGGGTCGTAGGTGCTAGCGACGGGGAATAATAGAGGATTCAGGAGGGGACCAGGCAAGGGTCCAACTGCTTCACTGCAGATGTTAATAGTTTCTTTAGGCGGACGAAGGCCTTACTTAAAAAGGGTCAGACATCAAAGTAGCTTTCCGATGACTTGGATCCCAGTCGTTCCCACATTTTGCATAGTTCGTGGTGACATATAGAATGCAAATGTGGGCCCAGCTCCTGATTTGAGCATTTATTTGCATCCGCGGAGGTGCCATGCATGTTTCATCCTGGATTCCTGATCCACACGTTCCGGGCCGAGTTGAGTCTAGTTCGTCATGAAGTTCCCAGTGTATTGAAGGAGGCGGAGTCTGAGCGATGAATCCCAATCTGCAATGTCCGAGACTGCGGAGAACCCTGATCTTGAAACCTTGGCGTGGAAAAGGGTCTCGGAGGATTGACCTTAGCAATCACAGAAAGCCGATTTCAGCAAGCGTGAGTTGTCATCGAATCCTGCGGGTTTGCTGTAGTAAGTCGCTAGTCTCGGTTGATAGATAGTCTACAATCAGGACGCATGCACATATAGGTTCATAGCTATCATGCGTGTAGAGTGCTCAGCGGACACTTTATATGCTATTTCGAGAGTATAGTGTCTTCATCTACACGCTATATACTCGAGCCGAGCTTAGGACTCTACGATAAACTGGTCTTATGGTACAGGGGGAAGAGTCTAAGATAATAAGAAGAAATACTGCAATATAAATAGACAGTTAAGCAGTATAGCTTTATATATGATTGGCAAATCTTCTGCAGCATTAGAGACAGCTTATTATTACCATAAACCATGCAATGACGCTACCCATACGCACGGTCTCTAATTATCACCTCGTCGCCCATGCCATTACCGAGTGGATACAAACATACACGCTATAAACAAGGAATTGCACTTGACTGGCCGCTGTGTTTGTTTCTGACCTCCATCACAATTCTCAGCATCTCCACAGCCCGTGTTCCCGTGTCTTTCTTTTACCATCGATGTTTTAAAACATAAGAAGCAGTCCTGTGAGCCAGCTAAGGACGATTCCAAGCCATGGTTCTGAGGCAGCTGACGCTTCACCACTTTGAATAGTTGTCGTTGGAGTCACTGTTGTCCCCGAACCTAGTGCGGCAGATTCTGACGAAGTTGACAAGCTTTCAGTCATCGCGACTCTAGATGAGGATGAAGTGCTGAAACTCTGGGAAGACCGTGTGAAGATGCTAGACACTGTGACGGTGTGAGTCATTGTGTCATGAGTAGTTGTTAGAAAGGTCTCGGTAGCATGGATTGTGGTCGAGTAGACAGGGCCGATCTCCAGGGATCGCCGCAGGTGAGTCAGTACATCTGGGAAGCAATGTGGAAGACAAACTGCCCTGTACCTGTCGAAGTCGCCTTGGTGGAATATGTAGTCTTCTGCAAAGAAGTATGGCGTTTCAGGCTTAGGATCAAAAGTCAACCGGCTGCGCCTGTTTTAGGAAATTTACCAAGGTTACTGTTGTCCCAAGCAGCAGCCTTTTAACCTTAGTTGAAAGCAAACTGGCTCTGATCAGCCTAACACCGAATGATGGCGTCAACCAGTATCTCTGCAGCGACTCAGCACCTCACATGAGTTACAAAAGAAGACCATCATGCTTGGCAAGTTGCTTTACGATATTCGCTTTGGAGGCTAAGAATTGATAGAGAGAGGAGTCATAATTGGAGGCATCAGATTCCCGGTGGAAAACTATATATAGCATACCTTGTTGCTGTCTTGAAGGCATGCCCGTCAGGGATCTAACACCCTTCGAGATCGAACAATATCTCGTGGCCGCTGCATAATACCTTCCTGTTCCACCACCCCATTTATTGCTCAGCAGTTCGGAAACTCCTCGCCCAGAGTTCCATTCTTAGTGACAACGGGTTGGCACTCCGACATGACACCAACCATGCGAGACCACTGTGTCTTGCTGGGGTTCCGCCATTTGTGCAGAGTAGATCGCTGAATTGTCAAGTCCCCGGGTTTGATGATGCGCGTTTCACCAGAGGACAGGGTGAGTTCGATCTCGCCAGCGATCTGGATGACAAAGTCCAGGCTCACGGTCCGATGCATGGGACTTTCCGAGTCTGGAGGCGTATCGATATACCAAACATTGGCACCGCCACCCTGAGTCACCAGCGGAGGAAGCTCGTTGACCGAGGTCTCGTAGAGCTTGAGGTCGGTGCCATTGGTGAGCACCACGGGCGGCCTGTCTGTGGTATAGCCCAGACGTGCCAGGGCTCCGCCGAGATCGTTCACGACGGGAAGGGACTCGCTGAGGGTACTGGAGAAGAAGGAGTTGCCCTCATCGTCATTCTCGGTAATGTAGCGCTTGGGATTGGGAAGAGCGTTTTCAGCCATGATTGATCTCTGTGCGATGACTGCGAGAGATGGCTGTAGCCGTGGATAGAGCCGTGGATGATACCCAGGCAGACCAGATAGAGATATAAAAGCACAAAGCCGACCATACTTCGCAACAGACGCAGCGGGTTTCGCATCGGGATTCACGTGTAAGTAGACATGATGCCTGCAAGCATCTGCATGCAATTATGGTGTGTTATGGAACCCTGATGGATGCATTGCCGAGCCCTTGACCAATACTAGACGCCGACAACAATGTCGACATTAGATGAGACAGGGCCTGCTCGCAGCCAGCCAATTGTGGGCCGTTCCGAGGTGCCTTTTTCATCCAGTGCACTCGGGAAGTAACGACCGAGCTTTCCCGTTTATACCACCGTATGGCTGCTTGTTCCAGAGCGGCCATTCCAAACTCGGTAATCTGTGCTGGAGACAGCCATAAGGCAAATCACGTAAGAGCAAACCTATTGGTCTATTACCCATGCAGCTCGGCACGCTAATCAACAGTCCCGAGGCAGCTCGGAATGGCCAATGACTGGTTGTATGCCAGCCAATCTGGGAAGAGATGTTGATGTTACTCCTTGGTGCGTGGAAGCTGCATCGCGCATTTCTCCGCTGTCTTCCGTTCCTAGTCTCCACGGAGTTTGTCATCATACAACCTGGAATCTTAGGACCATCCGACGGTAGTACTGCAGCTCGCCGTCTGACAAGTCTGTCTACCCTCGTGCTGAACGACGCTCGCCAATATGTCCTCGGCTTCACCAGCCAAGCCGCATGTCTCCCTACGACACAGGACATACAAGACCGTCCTTGCCTGCGCGACCTGTCGTCGTCGCAAGGTCAAATGTGACGGTCTCCGTCCAGGTGCTTACATTCTCTTTTTACCCGTAACCTCCGATAACGGTCTTCTGTCCCGAAGTTGTAAATGCTGATTATTCGGATTCCAGCGTGTAGAAGATGTCAAAGGACCAGAGAGCTCCAAGAACCATGCACTTATATGTCGACGTCAGACCGCCGTAGCAGTACTGTCAACGACCCTCTTTCATCAGCTGCGGCATCTCCACAACTACCGACTCCTGTTACGCCTGCTCAAACACATTCGTCGCAATCTAGTGTCGTCGACACTCTCAGCGTTAATGCCCCCGGTATTCCTGGAGAATTCACTTTCGCGGTCAAGGCTGCTGTGTATGCCAGATTGGGGCTACCGTCCTCCAAAAAGCGGTGCCCTATTCTTCTAACAGACGCCCCGTTATTTGGCTTGTTGTCTCTTCCAGGGATTACATATCTCGCTATAAATCCTGCGGATAATGTCCTACCCCCGCGTAAGCATGCCGACCACTTGGTGAGGCTGTACTGGCAATGTCTCGACCCTCTGGAACCGCTGCTTGATCAGAGCTCTTTTGGTGCCGCCTATCAGGCAATATTCGACGGCAGTCAGATGGAGTGCGATGAGGAAATTTTTCTCTGCACGCTCAACCTCGTATTTGCTTTGTCCACACAGTTACAGGAATCAACTCCTTCAGAACAGAGAAATAGTGCCAGCAAAACTTTCTTTCTTCGAGCCTGGCATCTGTTGCGTCCGGAGATCATCCTCTGGCAAGCAGGCTCGTTGGAAATCGTTCAATGTCTGCTTCTCATGACCAGGTATCTTCAATGTACCCCAAATTTACAGCAGACGTGGATGGCACTGGGTTCGGCTGTGCGGATTGCCCTCAGCATTGGCCTCGACCGCTCAGAGAAGAATCGGCCGGGGTCAGATAGGGAGAACCAGTTGGCGCGGGATGTTTGGCAGCAGTGCGTATTTATGGACAGGTACGGAGAAGTACATTTTCCCAGGTTTGTAGGCCCGAGCCTCCGCTGATTATCACTCAGAAGCCTTTCTTGGTCGCTTGGGCGGCATTCCACGGTACCTAGTGTACCCTTGCTATCCTTCGACCCAGTGCGAAATGGTAACGATCTACCTGATTCGAACGGTGAGACCAATACTCCAGTCTCTAGGATAATGCAGGAGTTGAACCAAATTACCGGCTACATCGGTCTTTCTCAGGTGCTCACGGGCAGCAGTGCAGCAGTGAGGCAGGACTTGGTTCTGCCAACCCAAGCCGAACCCAGTGCCCTTGTGCGAACTGATGAATGCCTTACTAGGTTAGAAAACAGACTTCCCCCCGTCCGGTACAGTATGGCCAGTGGTGAAACTGCTAATCCCTTCGACGGACGGGTGACTCTTCTTCGTCTCCGGTGAATCGTGGCTCGCCCTCGTTGCTAGTTCGTATATCAGACACGGAGCTAACTCTGCGCTTCTTAGCCTGGCACACACACGCATCATGTTTCTCAGACCTGCCATAGCGCGCCTCTGTCTATCACATCTGCAAACGCCGAAAGTTCCCCGCCAGCTGAAACGAGCATCGGCGACGGCGTCCTCGAAACATGCGCCACGCTGTGCGTCGAAAATGCACAGAAGCTCATCATGCTGGTTCAGGAGTGCTCGCAACCAGACAAGACTGGACTCATACCCTGGCGGTACCGTGTTTTCTACGTTTACATTGCAATGCAGCATTTGATAGCGGCGATGCTGCGACCTGATGTCTTTGGGATTGTGGTCCGGGAGACATGGAACATAGCTGTATCAGTACTTAATGCACACGAGCACCTCAGTCTGTCTGTGAGACGATGTCTGAGCAAGTTGCGGATGATGTGGCAGAGGGTCATCGATATTCACTCTCCACCCACCCACGACGCTCCTCTGTCCCTCACAGACTACAACACAGGGCTCCAGGACGTCTTTGGGTATCTTGGGTTTGATGCTCAAATGCCGCTGTTTGGGCTGGACGATTCAGCCTGGCTGGACGATCTGGATTGGACAACATGGTCGTCCTAGCATTCATTTGCGTATGCTGGTTGCTCGATTAATCTCGCCGCCTTGTAAAGCTTTATTTCCTCTTGCCATCCCTAAGTGTAGAACGTATCCTTTACAAAAATTGATAGAGCGGAAATTTTTCATCGACCAGTTGAGAACAGGCATTTCTGAGGCAGCGAAGATATATAACCCTAGATTCGGATTTTAGAAGCCAACCTTCCAGTACCAATGGAATGAATTCCATCGTTTCGACGGCCGGACAAAGATGAAGGGTTACGAGTTATGAAATGACAACACCAATATGGAACCAGATCGTGCCTCAATTCTTGCCAGCGTCCTCGACGACGGCCACCCAATGGTGCCCACTCCTTTGATCTTTCTCGTCTGCTATGCCACAGCTCTCGTCTATCGAAGTCCAGACGTACGTACATACAATTGGATGGGAAATACTCCACACTGAGGATCTATATCGAGTGCGAATGAATCCGGCGGTTCCCAGCTGATGGTTCACCGAAACGGCTCCCAACTGGTGGCTGTGAGCCAGTAGCATCTGTCGTAGAAGTTGTGGAAAAGGAGTCTAGACCGCGAAACCCGATACTATTAGTCTATTGACTCCAGAATAAGTTATTTTAGCTCGCCAGAAAATGGTGCATCGTCGGATTTGACCCACTGGGAACGAATACTGGCTTGGCATATCAGAACTACCTAAGCATTGACTGTGCCATTTTGAGAATCAGACAGGCCCTCCCTACACTATAAATTGCAGGTTGTTGTCTCTTAACCATTCATCCTTTCATTTCGATTGTACACTTTTCGGGAAAGAACATCAGCCATGCCTACTCCATCAAGCCAGGCGTCTGCACCAATGCCGACTATCACGGCACCCTGCACGCTAGATACATGTCCTCTTGACTGGGCTCTGGTGCGCTACATGCCCAGTCTCCCAGGAAATGCCTTATATCTTGCTCTCTTCCTCATCATGTTCCTTGTCCAGATCTACCAGGGAGTTCGGTCCCGCACCTGGTCCTACCTCGCTTGCATGACCGGCGGACTCCTACTTGAAGTCGTCGGCTACGGTGGACGCCTCATGCTTCACTCAAATCCGTTCAATTTCTCGGCTTTTCTTCAGTCAGTAACGATGCTCAGTGTCCCATTCGCCCGTTACCCTGCGATGCTAATGCAGCTAGGTACCTCATCTGTCTTACCATCGGACCCGCTTTTATCACCGCGGCGATCTACCTCTGTTTTGGCCGGGTGATTGTTGTCTACGGCGAGGGCTTCTCCCGGATTAAATCTCGAACATATGCCATTATCTTCGTGACCTGTGACCTTCTATGTCTCATTCTCCAGGCCGCAGGCGGAGCATTTACTGCAACCGCAGGACGGGACCAGGACGGCCTCCGCCATACCGGGGTCAGCATTATGATCACGGGTCTAGCGGCGCAGGTGGCATCACTGGGGGCCTTCATGGCGCTTGCCATCGATTACCTGTGGAGACTGCGCCGACACCGACAGTCGCAATCCTGCATGCTCTCGTCTGGTGGCAGCAGGACATGGACAGGGTTTCTCTGGGGTTAGTTCCACATCCACAAAGGGTCGCGTCTATGGGAATGGTATTTCTAACTGAAGAGTGCCTCAGGAATTGGAATTTCAACTTTCCTCATCTTCATCCGATCGATCTTTCGCACGGCGGAATTGAACGGCGGGTTCAGCAGTGATCTGGCCAACGATGAGGTTGCGTTCATGATCCTCGAGGGCGCGAGCATGGTTGTCGCCTGTGGCAGTATGAGTATATTCCACCCGGGACTGAGTCTAAAAGGGCATTGGAAGGATCCCACGTCGTGGCCGTTGAAGAACCGGCAGGACGATGGTCTCCCGTTGGCGGAGACTGGCCAGGGGAATAGACATTAGCACAGGTTATACGAAGTGGAGGGTTTTACCTAGAGCGGAGAAATGGTCAGCGCTGAAAGTGACTTGCCTTGACATGGCTCCATGACAAACTTTATTGAGCCACAAAGATGGCTATTTATGTAGCTGGACATTGATTGGACAGTTATTGAAACGTCCCCAGAATATGGCCAGTGCCATTGGTCTGCTCGTATTGCTCATCCGGAATTGGTATAATGTGGATTAAAGTAGACCGAGATATATCCGATATCCACCCAGGCTATGTATACGGGGGATCTCCCTTTTGTTTCAGAGGTACAACATTCATCTGCCTTTGTTGTCTTGATATCGATCATCCTATATCGACACGCAAGATACAATACGATGCGCAGAGCCCATACTAAATCAAGGACCGGTTGCCGAACATGCAAGTACGACCCCTTTCTGCTCCAATGAGTCAACAAGTGATGTACATCTGATACGATATTCGCTGACTCAATCTTCCGCACTGCTACAGAACCCGTCGAATACGCTGCGACGAGACATGGCCCTCCTGCAAGCGTTGTACGACCACAGGCCGTCGCTGCGATGGCCCTTCGCTTACACAGACCAGCCCAGTCGCAGTCTCATTCGCTCAGACATGGACATTGACGTCCACGGTGAGAATGCACCAACTCCCCAGGCTATGGGAAGAAAGTGAACAGGACGCTCGGTACGTGCAATACTTTATCGAGTGCCTCTGCCGGGACGTACCCAGCTGCGGCGGTGAATCCTCGCACTGGCGACCTCTCATGATCCAAGCCATGCACCAGGAGATTGCTGTCCGTCGAGGTGTTGTCGCTCTTAGTGCGCTTATGCAGGAACGACTGGCGCACGGTTCAGTGGGGATACATGGATTTGATGCGCCTCCTCGGAGCGGACGGTATTTTTTCGGGCTGAAGAAGTATGGCAGAGCCTTGGCTTCCTTGCAGGAATTGGTCAAGGATATGGGGAATGACAGATACCTCACGCAGGTGGCCCTGCTCTGTGGGATCATCTGTATATGGTTCGAGATTCTCATGAGGGATTATCTTGCCGGGTTGAGTCACCTGGAGATGTGCTTGAAGATCGTCCTCAATGCCGGCCCTCTGGGGAATGTCGACTCGGACATCCAAAGAGCATATGCACGAATGGACATGCAAGCATCGTTGTACGTCGGGATCCGCGCCCCCGTCACCGTCCCCGAGGAAATGTCCCCGATCCCGTACGTCTTCGACTCGTTCAACCAAGCCGAAACCTGCCTGATGGAGGAGTATGCCCGAGTCGTCCACTTTTACCGTAATGGAGGCAACTTCTACCGTACCCATCAACCAGATGGCGTCCCGCTGGAGCTGGTCGCGCACACACAGACACTGCAGGCGCGTCTTGAGCTCTGGAAGTCAGCATTCGGATACTCCTATTCGTGTCAGAAAGCGCAGGGCAGTCCGCAGACTTCTGCGCGCGCTTCTCTTCTCCTCGTCCAGTATTACATCGCACTAGTCACTGCATCTACATCCGTCTATGCTGAGGAAACGCTATATGATCGCTTTCTCTATGCGTTCAAGCGGATTCTTTCCCTGGTGAGATCATCCAACGCCTGCCAAGAGAGTGCCGCTGCAACTTCGCTAGACGGGGTTCCAATGAAGATGGGCGTCATTTACCCGCTGTATTTTGTCGCAACAAAATGTCGAGACTCGGTGGTCCGGCAAGAGGCCATCGACTTGTTGTCCTCGGCGCCATATCCGGATGTGGTTTGGGAGGCGCCTATACTGACGGCTGTGTCACGGAGGGCGAAGGAAATCGAGGAGCTGGGGCTAGACGGAAATGAGTCGATTCCAGAGTTCAAGAGGCTCCATGGCCTGGGGTGGGCAATTGATTATGAATCTCGCCAAGTGAGTGTGGAATTCCGTAGACGGTCCAACGGAATGGACAGCGAGTGGGATGAATGGCAGGAATGCCTTAGCTGGTAGAAGCTGGTAGACAAAGTGCATGCCATTTCTCATCCAGCGTAATCCTTGGGAACTTTTTCCAAGTGGGTCTTCCTATAGTCTTTACCGCCATTGTTCTGTCTTGAGGCTTTCCTTAAATCCACGGAGATAAGCCTCCGCTATAAACACCGCCGGGCCACAGTGACGCACATTAGCATTATGGCTCTTAAATCCTCGGAGATTATCAACTCAGAAAATGTAGTCGTTGTTGGAAAGATGTCTACGAATCTATAAATTTCTTTTCTTCCCTCTGGACATCTCGTCTAATTAGCACATCAGAACAGTTCGACTCTCACAACATGGCCATCTTTCAGACAATCCTTATCATTGGAGCCACCTCTGGGATTGGGGAAGAATTGGCTCGCCGGTATCATGCCAACGGAAAGCAGGTCATCATTTCGGGTCGCCGAACAGAACGACTGGAAGTTCTGACGACTGAGCTACCAGGGTTGGGCTCCATCCAGGTATGTGCAGCACTCTATAACATACGGTTGTCTAACAAAGCACAGATGGATGTAAAGAATCTTGCAGCTCTGCCGAGCAAGATCGACGAAGCATTTGCGAAATACCCAGATATTGATGCGGTGATCATCAGCGCCGGCATCCAGCGTCTCCTGGACTTCAACACCACCGATGTCTCTGCAGCTCAGTACCCAAGCACAGACGCCATCACCGACGAGATCACAACCAATCTGGCCGGTCCGACCGTCCTGGCACGCTGCATCATCGAACACTTCAAAGCGTCGCGACCGAACCAGCCTTGCCTTCTAGCCTTTGTGACTTCAGGTCTGGCGTTGGTCCCAGCCACCATGTTCCCCGTGTACTGCGCCACAAAATCAGCGCTGCATTCCTTCACGGTGCTCTTGAGGAACCAGCTCAAGGATACTTCTATCAGTGTGGTCGAGATTGTGCCCCCATACGTGGAGACAGGATTAGACAAAGATCACGTCGAGGAATTGGCCAGACGCATGGGTGGGACGAGGCCGCAGGCCATGCCGGTCCAGCAATACGTTGACCAAGTGGTGCGGGGGTTGGAGGTCACAGATGAGAATGGAAAGACCCAGAAGTATGTCGCTGATGGATTCCCTCGTGCTGCGGTCGATGCTTGGGTTGGGGCTATCGGTCCCATGGCAAAAATTTTGCATACCGAGCTGTGAATCTTAGCCGGTCGAAGTACTCGGGTCAAGCTCGTCGATTGGGAATGCTAAGTCCTGGCCGAGAAGAAGGCTCTCATACGCAGTCTCAAAATCGCCTGCCAGTACAAATGAATCCCAAGCATCCTGGTAGATTTTATTAGCCTTGTTCCTGTCATACTAGAAAGCAACCGCACCCAATCAAGGTCAACCATATCCATGTTGGAGTCATTTGCGCCATCTTCGTATGTATCAAGATGTACATCAGGATTAGGCGCAGACTGACCACTCTGCCGGGGATCTTGACGAAGGCCCCTTTCGCCATCCACTGAGACTGCCACGTCAACGGCCGGTGCAAGTCGATCTGGAAAGCCAAGTTTCGGCCGTAACAGCTCCAGCATTGTGTCAAGCACGAGTCCAACCTTGCCTGCTTCACTGTTCTCGCCAGCCAGGTTGTTCCAAATCTGGCGCGAAGTGACGAGCGCCTGGAATATCTCCTGAACACGGGCATCTGTCTGCGAAGGAGCGCCCTGGTCTGTTGGCGTCCAGTACTGCAGATATAAGCACAGTACCATCGCAGCCAGGCTAAAGTTCGCACTGTCAGGAGTGATTCTGTACCCATGGAAGTCGCTAAAACACCCTCCCGGCTGGGCCTCCCTGTATATGGTAGCCTGGTGTCGGAGTAGCGTCATGGACGAATCAATGCTTCTTTGCTGAGAAAGGGCAAACGTGGGGTCTTTCCGGGCCTCTTGGAGATACTTCCGATGCAGTGCAGTGACTGCTTGGTGATAAAGCGTGTCTAACTGGACTTTCTGCACCATAACATATGCAGATTCGTTTGGCGCATTGTGCCAGTTATTCAGCTGCAAATGGGGAGGAATCGACCGATGAGCCTCCATTAGGTCACTGTCGAGTTGTAGGACCCTCTCGTAAGGCTGCCGCTGTACGGAATTCAGGAATTCGACGACCCGTCTCATCGCTCGAGAAAGTTTAAGCTTGGCTAGTAAATACCCGATTGGGACACTTGCCGAAAAGGGTCTTGAAGGTGGCAATTCGGACATGCCTTCTTTCATGTCGCTATCGAGGAGGTTGCGCGGCGGCTCTGTATCAGAGTCCTCTGACCGGACGGCCGTTGGAATGCCAAGATGAAAGGACGACAGGCAGTCAATCTGGTCGATTGTGCTCCAGATCCTCCGGCGCATCTCTCCCTCAAAGGGCGACAGATTGGAGAAATGGGACGGATCCCGGTGCAATCCCAGCCTCATCGCCAGTCGCACGATCGAGCCGATGTGCGTAATTAGTCCAGCTCCCCATTCTTCATGATGAGAAAACCCAAAGATGCCGTGTGCGATCATTGCTTGGAGCGTTTGCAGAGTAGTCTGGTTTGTTTTTATGCGCTCCAGACACTGGCCAGACTTGTTATGGTAAAGCTTACCGAGCGCCTCAGACATCCCCGAGTTGTCTTTTGCTTCGGGAAGAAATTTCATCGCCACGCTGAATATCGAATAGAGCAGAGCTACCCATGTTAACGTAGCGGATGATGAGTTCTCCCAGTATTCTTCGTACTGTTGACGGTCAGCGATGGTTGGCTAGCTACGAAGGATGGCTCCAACCTGTTTCATGAAGGTCGGATAATGAATCGAATCTGCGTTTTTGTGAGATGAGCAGGGTTTCGCAACATCATTCTAGAAAAACTTACGTCTTATTGGACCAACGATAGAATGTGGAGCAAAGAATGCTGATATCAGTCTATCCGCTGCGGAGCGTGATGGCATGACCGCTAGCAGCTCGTCATTCAATCCTGGAGCAGTCCGCTGGGAATGATTGCTACTATCCTTGTGTAAGTCATCTTGGATGCTCAATGTCGCCAGCTAGAGAAACTTGTATCAGCATCCTCAGCATGTTCCATGCGGTAGAAATGACGAAGCTACCTCACTGAGGACACTATCCCAGTGACTACCACTTCGATAGAAAAGCCCGGCAAATAGCCGCCCAAGGACAGGACTGGTGGCCCTGCTCTCGGACTGTGGTGCCGAGCTAGTCACTTTCTGTCGTCGACGGGGACGAGCGGCATACAGACAAAGATTACTGGATCCTCGCATCACACAATTGTGACAGGGCTGATGACGATCACATCGTAGTCTAGACCGTGTCAGTTCATATGTATCACCCCATATGTTGGAGGATTAGAGCACATACTTGCGCACCCGGCAGGAAGCACAGGAAAGCGGGACTCGATTGCGTTTTGCAGGGCCGGCTTTCGATCCGGTCGGGGCGTTAGCGTGGGATGACGATATATCCATGTCGACATGGGTCGGTAGAGCAGTAGATAGAAAGTCGCCTTGATGAGTGATTTGATTGCAGGCTCCTCTGTCTAGTTACTAATGAATTGATGACACAAGAAAATCGAGATGTTGAAGAGGATGCTGAGCTAAGGAGGATACTCTCGTTATGATTGGTGGGATTGTGCAGCCATAGCTTACCTCATCTCCTTTCTAACAATGAATTATGCTGGTGTATAAATCTGACTGCCTTCTACAATTCTACGTGTATTACCTTAGCTAGGGCTGCTTCTTCTGTAATTATGCTATGATAAATTAAAAGAACCCATTATCTTTCATTCGCAGATTTTGTATATGAGTCGAATACTCATCTAGTGGGGATATCGAACGCTTAGTCTGGATTTAAACTATGTATACTCTAAACATGCAGCGATGCAGTTCCCCCTCTCCTCGCCATTATTATACAGGTATGTCCGTCTAGTGAGAGGTAACACTCATATAAATATATTTAAACCCTTTTATACAAATAGTACAGCAGACAGGACTACACTAAGAAAGATATCTGTTGGGATTTTGCAATTGATGACTGACAGAAGTGGCCAGTTGATTATTCATCTGTATGTTGATTGTTAATTGAAGGCAAGCCATCTTTTATCTTATCAGCACACAACAGTATCGGACGGAATACTAATCATTTATACATACGGAGTTAAGTGTAGCCGTGTGGCTATTATTGAGCATTCAATCACTAATCAAAACCTTCATGACGGAGGGTCGTCTCCACTCTGGGGTACATTGATCACTAAACAATAGTAAACCATTATTACCGCAAAATGCCATGGACGCCCTCTCTGGGGTCCTCGGGTTGTATATTTACCCAAGCCTGCCTCCTGATAGCATCTGTTCTCATCTGAACTATTTCTTTTTATTCTAAGGACCCTTCCAACCAGATGCCTTCCGGACTTATCTTCATCACCGGTGCTACCGGTTTCATCGGCAGCGCTGTCGCCCTCGAGGCCCTCAAAGCAGGTTACTCGCTGCGCATCAGCATTCGCAAGGAGTCACAGATCCCCAAACTCAAGAAAATTCTGTCGCAATTCGAAGACAAGATAGAATTCATTGTTGTGCCTGACATCACCCAGGAGTCTTCCTTCGCAGGAAAGCTGGACGGAGTCGACTATGTGCTTCACCTTGCCTCTCCTCTTCCCCACGGGACAAATAAAGAGACGTACTTTGGACCGGCTCTAAAGGGCACCACCGCCATCCTGAAGGAAGCCGCCAAAGTCAACACGATCAAGAGAGTCGTGATTACTTCGTCCATTGCGGCACTCATCCCCCGCACGGGAATTCCCGAAGGAGGGGTCATCAGAGGTCAGTTTACCATCAATCCAGAATAGTGGTCAGGCCGAGCATAGATGCTGATCAACCATGCACAGAGAACAACGGTTGGGACCTGACGGTCGACCCAAATGCCGACTTCACGGGCCCAGACGACGCCGCCACCGCATTCACACTTTACCACGCCTCCAAGCTCCTAGCAAACAACGCCAGTTGGGAATTCAAGAACACCGAGAAACCGCATTTCTCGCTCGTGACTCTCCATCCTGCCTTCGTCTTTGGACATAATCATGTGCAGACTAGCCCGGAGGAGGTCCAAGGTAGTACTAATGGAATGGTCTGGGGAACCGTCATGACCGGCAAACCAGTGGGAAACATTACTGGAGTGCATGTCCGGGACGTGGCTGAGGCACATATTAAGGCGCTTGATGAGTCCGTCCCGGACGGGTCCAAGTTCTTGCTGGCAGGTAAAAAGGCATCCTGGAGTGATGTTGCTCGCATCGTGAAGAGAGACTATCCGGAGATTGGTGCCAAGATCACGGAGGATATCTCAGGAGAACCTTACCCGGTGGATACAACTGAGGCCGAGAAGGTCTTGGGCATGAAATGGAGGTCATTGGACCAGATGGTCAAGGACGTGCTGGACCAGCAGTTGGGGTTGATGAGACAGGCGAACATGTAGGCGGATGCTATATTTGTCACAATATGTCAACGAGATCAGACGAATATTATGTCATTATTTGTATGAGAATTCTCCAGCTATATACAGTTGCCGCATCCCTTGGATACCGAATGTAACCGTGTCTCGTCATCTTCACGATTAACCTGCTGCTCGTAATACTGGTCCAATTGTATCGTATCGCGACTCATCCGCCGTAACACTGAGCTCTTCGCGTGTCGCCTTATCAGAGACTTCCAAGTGGTAGGCCATCTTTGGGCTATTCTTGCTGCAAAGGGGTCCCACGGTCATTGGCATTGCTCCTGCAAATCTGGGCTGTGTGTGCGAGACGGCTCTCCAGAAGCATAGCCCTTGAGGTTCCGAGACATGGTAACTACTGGCCGATAGATGATGGGGAGATTGGCGCAGAAGATTCCGCCCAGTGGCTCCCAGGCGGAGAGGATCCCCAAGGGCACGCCAGCCCCTGCATCGTTAGACGGACGACCTGCGATCCACGACGGAAAGTCGACCAGCACTAGTGCTACACGTCCTGCCAGAACAAAGGAGTGAGCCCGCACTCGCACACGCGAAGGGGGGAGTACTAGCGCCAGTCCGACGGAGAAAAGCAAACTGAGAGCGATCTTCCGATTACAAGACATGTGGGGACGGAGAATGATGGGCAAAGGCAGGGCAAAGAGCCAGATATCGGAAATGAGGTTGGTGATGTTTGGTGAAGTAGGTGAATGCTACTAGGTCAAAGCATTGTCCGGGTGCTCCCCTTTCTATCGCCTTCACGCCCTCCCTCACGGAGCATAAATACCGCATTTCCGCAACAAAGACGAGCTACGCAGAGCAAAAGGACGAGGGCTTTCGCATTGGCAAAATCCCAACTACATCCATCGCCGCTACCAGGAGCAGCGGGGGCAGTGAAGTACTCAGGCCCACCTTCCATTATATGAGCCAGTATTTCCCCTTTGAGGGAGCGGTCTGGTTCCAAAATGGCATATCAAGCTCGCAAATGAGCTCGGACAATTCGACTACTCGGTTATCACCGATATCAAGCTCAACATCAACTACAGCGCCATTGCCGGCGGCGACCGGCAGGCTGCTATTGATGCGACCAGCAAGGATCTGGAAGTAGGCAGCAACGTTGCCTCCATTGATCTGATAGACATCACATCAACAAGTCCGGCAGCGGCAGCGAACCCCCTCCATCCGGAGGGATAGTGATCCCTGAGCTACGAAAGCGATTACCCCATATCATGTCTCGTAGCCGTACGGCGGTGAAACGTGTGGAGTTATATCTAAGTCCAAGTGGAGTGAGGATGACCCGGGATCTGCCCTGGTATGATCAAGGGAACGAAGTTGGACAAAGAAGACGCTACCGTGGGCGATTTTGTCATTAAATATACATGAAGGATCGATTAATATCTCGGATTCATGGAAGGTTGATCTCAAACTCGAGTCAAAGGCATGGATTGGAAAACTAGATGAAGCATGGCTGCTTATATCCTGCGCAGTTACTGGCCTGGTTTGAGCCCTGCTTTACGCTTTAACCGTTCTAATCCTGCTATTATATTAAAGCGTTTGTACTTATGTGTAGTTCTAATCTGACAACATATATTATTTCCAAGTTCAACATACTCAGCACTATGTAGACTTTACATCTTTACCGAAATGCATTCTCCCCTGCCACCTGCGCAGTCGCTGTCCAAACAGCTGCAACACCACCATGAAGAACAACGACCCAAACGTAATAGCAGCCTGGATTCCCAGTGCCCTGGCCGGTCCCATGCCACTGACCCAGTCGATCTGAATATATGTAGCCATGAACCCACCCCAGTTGCGACTAGCCGTCACCCACGCTCCCACCTCGCCGGATCCCTCGGGGTAGCAGTCAAGCAGGTATGCGTTGATGGCGGTCGTGATGATCATCATGCTGCTGCATTGCATGGCTGCGAAGACGGCAATGACCATGTAATGCCAGTGGCGCTCAAAGGCGAACCCGAGCACGATCAGACTGACACAGCAGAGGATGGTGGCCGGATAGACGATGATCAGGCGTGCTTCGGGGTGCAGCCGGCCTTGGTGTCGATTCATGTAAAAGGTGCCTACGGCATCGTGAAGGTAATGTCCCATCAACCAGCCGATGATGACGCCGACGATGCCGAAGAAGTAGAAGTAGCCTATCCAAAGTCAGTATTTCGAACAGAGTGTATGTGAGAGAGGTATGTACCAATGCCGCGAGTGGAAAAGCCATAGTCATTGCTCAGCCAAATTCCGATAGTCGTGTTGACTCCAATCACCCAGGCAAAGTTGAGCAGGTAGTAGATCAAGATAATCAGCACCGGAATTCTGGTTACGGCCACGATAGGCCGCATGGCGCACTGCAGCAAGCTCCTCTTTCGCCACAGCTGTGCTTGCTGGGCTCCCGTGAGGCGAGCGATATATGATCCTCTCGTGATCTGGCGACCTTTACGATCAAACAGCGTTTCATCAAGAAAGAGAACGAGCAGAAAGGCCGCGGCCGACATGCAGGTACACAGCCAAAAGGCCCAGCGCCAGGACACGTCGGTGACAATGAAGCAGGTCAGCAGCGGGCCAAGGTAGGGACTCATGATGATGAAGAACTCGATGTAGTTGATGACTTTGGGATGTTCATGGAAGAAGAACAGGTCTTTGATCCAGAGCAAGGCGCCTCCCTGGCCGACACTGCAGAAGAGCCCGTTGATGATCCGCGCCGCCATGTATGACTCGAAGCTCGTGGCCGCAGCGGACCAGGCACATGTCCCGACCATGACTGCTTGGAAGAGCAGAAGAACGGGCATGCGACCGAAGAAGCCTGCCAGTATCACTACGATAAGGCCACACGACCCGATGGTGAAGAGGTTGCCTACAACGGCTCGTTGGACCGTGGCCTGGGGCAGATTCCACTCACTAATCACTGATCAGCAGCTTCTTTTTGCTTATGAATTATGGAACCCTACATGGACTGAGGAATGACGGTAATGATCGCGGTGCCTCCAGTATAGTCCGCCAGGAACGCGATATACGCCATGATCCACACAATCAGCCATTTCTTGCGCGAGCTCCAATTCAACGGATCATCGGGGGTGTCCAAAGGTTGCGGGATGAGAACATAACGGCCATCTGGAGTCGTTTTCAGGCCGGCCGCGTTGTTAGGATATCGGCTGGGGTCAACCACATATCCTTCCAGGGCTTCTTCATCCTCGTCGATCCCAGCCGATGTAATCTGTACGGGAGGTTTGTCGTCCATCGTGGTGAGTGAGCCGTTGCCAAATTGCAATCTGACTATATTAATCCACCTTTAATTGGCGACCTCGGGTGCAATTGGTCTGGGGAGAGCTGAGAAAGTCCAGAAGGTATTTGAACGTTTGTGGAAAATGCTCGACTATAATAGAGGCTGCGCGCAATTCGGGAAATGGTTTAATTTATCCTAGTCAACAGGGAACGTGCCTTGTTCTGTGTCCATACCACTATATAAGATCCCTGCAGCACCAGCAAAATATATCAGCTCCTGTCTCGGATCGGGTATGGATCTACGGCACAATTACCCGGGAAACACTGTTCTTGAGAAGGCTTGAGAAACGACAGATTGTGTAAATGAGACGCAAGCGCCTGCATCTGGTAAGAATCTAGACAGGGATCTGAAATTGATGCATCATGGGTCAAAAGGACGGCGGGATTAGGCCAGAAACGGGAAATGCAGATGGAAGAGACAAGGAAATTGGCTGTGATCTTAGCACGATAGCATTCTCTTGGTCCACAATTGACAGCAATCACATCTAAGAGACCCACCGACATCTTAGGAGTCAAGCCGAATCAAGAAATTGCTGTTGATTTGCCGAGACGTAGCCGAGGGAAACTAATATACAATAACGACAGGGGATGCGACAGGGGACGATCCCGCGGTTGCATGGCAGTCCACTTCCAACTCACAGAGAGGTCATTTATGCCTAATTCATTGGTCATTTAATTTCAATCCATGGCCTCTAGAGCAATACAGCACAGCCATGTTACATATGAACCTCATACGTAGTCCAGGATTAACAAGAGACTGTTCTCAGGTCCCTGTCCAATATCCCTGATACCGAGTGTAAGACTGAGATTGACCGGGAATTCAGCACCCCCTAGACGGCCTCCATCTGGCTGGACTACAAAATCTCCGCGACTGAAGTAATCATGTACTCTACTGTATTTTCATCGATGTGCAACGACAACTCAGGCTCACCATGGCTGCGGCATACGGGGGACGCGGTCCTGTTCTGCTTGGAGTGACCTGGGCAGAAACAGCTCTGGCTTTGATTTTGTTCGGGTTACGTGCAAAAACGCATCTCTGTGTCCACCAGAGGACGTTTCATTTGGGTTCTGTGGTCTGCGATGGGATTTTATCTGGGTGATGTTTGCTTATGTATGTCGGATCGGCCACAGTTGACAGAGGATTATATACTGATATGCGGCAGGCACTAGCCTTTGCGGCCCAGTGTACCATGACGGTGAGCGTCTCATACGGTCTCGGGTTACACCAGGATCAGCTTTCGCATCAGCAGATTGTCGCTAGCAACTACTGGAGTTGGATTGCTCAAGTCCTGGCCATTCTTGATCTTGCCATCGCGAGGTGTGCTGTGATTGCTTTCCTCCTGGCTTTGCAAACGTATACCCACCGCAAAGGTCGCTGGGCACTGCTCACGGTGGGTGCCTTCCAGGGGCTGATCAATGTGGCCGAAATTGGGGTCATCTTCCATCAGTGTGATCCCCCTCGGCGATTGTGGGATATGGAAGTTCCAGGGACCTGTAATCTGATCGAGACATGTTTGTATATCGGATACGCTCAGGGTGGTATGTTCCCCTTGCGCCCCATGAAGGACAAAGGTATTGATGGAAACAGGAATGGGTGCTCTCGCGGACATCTTTCTGGCCTGTTATCCGGTCTATATCATCGGACGACTTCAGCAGATGAGACTTTCCGTCAAGGTTGGACTGTGCTTGTTGATGAGTGGAGGTGTCATGTCAGTACCTGCCCTTCTTCCTACCATTTATGTCTTCTCTCCTAATGTTAATGATGCAACAGCGCAGGAATAGCCGGGATCAACAAGACAGTCGCCATATCCACCATCGTCGAAACCGCCGACCAGACGTACGCCATCGCCAAACTAAATACCTGGGTGTTGACAGAGATGTGGTTTATTCTCATATTTGGGTCAATTCCTGTCCTACGCCCCTTCTTCGTGCGATTCTCTCAGAGCATCAAGACTGTCGCGGGATACTCGAGTTCGCGTAGCCGCACTCATGCTGGTGGCGATCGTAGTGGGAGTCGTCCCAACGACGAGACATGGATAAACCTCGATGGGCAGCAGCATAGTCCTTGGATTGCTAATGGGCTCCGTACGAAGAAGGGCGTGTCCGTGGGGATTCATGGAGGCAGTGAGGAGAATATCCTGACCACGACGTATCCTGATCAGATCGTTGTTACGAAGAAAACTACAGTGATGGAGGAGTCTCGCTAGCTGCCTTATCGAGATATTAATTTCTTCCTTTACCCTTCTGTAATATTAGCATCTCCTTTTGTTCAGGGATAGAGTTCTCAGTCGTCTCCCCGGCTTCTTCGTCATAGAGGTAACACTCCCAAGTATCAATATGATCGAAGCTACTCAACCGCAATGATCATCCAGATTCGTTCGTACATGATAGCTCTGGGTTGCTTCATCTAACTGGCACTCTCATTCCAAATCTCCCCGACTCCACCAGAATGGCCCAAACACACTAGTAGGGATGGTTCGAAGCACCCCTGTCTGGCGCCTTTCTAGTACAACCACTGTCATTTTCTCTCCATCCACGCATCGTCCATTGGGTGGATAATGAGCGTGCCGCACTTCCATTGTCTCATTTGTGCACTGAGACCTTCCGGGATAAATTGGCGGGGTCAGGGCCCTACTCATCCTCTATTGCTCTGCGTATGCCAACCACGCCAGCTTTCCAACAACCCCCTGGGACAGTCCTCGTCTATATTCTTTTGCTTTTCAGCTTGTTAGACAAAATGACCATATTCGACGACATAAAGCACGTCCAGAGGCTGGCTGAGGCCGAGGCTGCGGGTGATCCCAATGCTCACAATCAACTGCTGGCTGCTATTCGGAAGCTGCAACTGGCAGCCGAAAAGCCGATCGACACAACTTCTCGAGTAAACTTTCAGGTAAGTCCTACAATATAAGTTTAATTGAGGAATGTAACTTACAATCAGATTATGCAAAATATCTGCGTTCGAGTAGCAATCGAAAGGAAGCTCCTGCACGCGATAGCGGAGAGGAATGGAGAGCCCATAACATCGGCCGAACTGTCGCGTGTGACTGCCACCGATGAGCTTCTAGCTGGTAGGTGCCTTGCATGCATCCCTCCAGTTTCAGATCAATACTCATCCTAATGCATCAGTCCGTGTAATGCGCGTGTTGACCGCAATTGGCTTTGCCCGCGAGACGGTCAACCAAAGCTATGCGGCGAATGAGACGACCCATTTTGAGATCCTCCCTGGGTCAATTGCCGCAGTGAAGCATCAGTACGTATCTTCATGCTCGTGAAAGGTTGAATGACTGACTTTAGCAGTTTTGAACCCGACTTCGGCATGGTACATTCCCTCTATGCTCACTCCACGGTCCTGGCTGACAAATCTAGGGAGCCAAACTGGTCGAGTACATGCGTGGGCCAGGCATTAGCCAGTTCGCCGATGAACCAGGGCAACAAACACTCTTCAAGTACGCGCATGGGTTTGACAAAATCTTCGGCATGCTCGAACAAAACCCGGAGCAGAAGCAGGCGTTTGATGACTACATGGCGTCTCGACGGTTGATCAACCAGCCCCAGTGGTTCGAGATCTACCCTGCTGCCGAGAGACTGCGGGATGTCCGAGATAGTCCAGAATCTGTCCTACTGGTCGATGTTGGAGGCGGACCAGGACAGGAAATGTCACGTTTCAGACACCGTCACCCGGACGTTCCGGGGAGAATCATCCTGCAAGATCTGCCTCTGACCCTCAATCGGATTGAGAAGGTACCAGAAGGGATTGAGCCAATGGAACACGATTTCTTCAATCCGCAGCCGGTCAAGGGTAAGACACCACTCCATCCATGGGCTCAATCAGACTGACAGTCAAAGGTGCACGGGCTTATTTCTTCCGGCAAGTGCTGCATAACTGGTCGGACGCCAAAAGCAAGCAAATTCTGTCGCACATTGCCGATGCCATGGAGCCGGGATACTCGACCCTGTTGATTGACGACTATGTGTTGCCGGATACAGGGGCCGAGCTTAGAGCCGCTGAGATGGATATCCTCATGTGGCTACATACCGCCGGTCTCGAGCGAACTGTCTCGCAGTGGAGGTCATTATTCGATGCTGTAGGCCTCGAGCTGGTGCAGATCTGGAATACCGACAAAGGGGATGAGTCGGTGCTGGAAGTGAAGAAAAAGCTGTGACGTATTCAAGGCTTCTATAATAAGCTTGCAATTGTAATCACACATTACCTACATATAAACGGGGCCATCCTTCTCATTCATGCTCTCTTTACACCCCATCTGAACAACTTCAACGACTATAGAGACATTACTTTTCTGCACTTTTCCATTCAGACTAACACTGGACAGCATATATTTACGGTCTTCACTGATCCTTTTCAGTGCCTTTGCAGTGCTCACGCCATTTACCATTGAGCACTTCTTGCATGCCTTTCTGCAAAAGGCAATCCCGTGTGACTTCCTCCGTCCGGCAGTCATCCGCACTGTCAAGTACCTCTGATACTCCTCAGCACACCGACCTTTCTTCGAACCATCCTATAAAAGACCAATGCTCCAGACTCACATACCCATCCCTTTCGGACTCTTTTCCTTGGGTCCGACCACCGACTAAATCAGGCAAATCAGGCGCCAAGACCGTGGCTTCAATCCGTCCGTATTTGCCCCGCCCGAGTCCTGACTCCTGAGGCAGCAGCCGGCAGCCTAATCACCAACGCGGTCGATATAACGCGATCGAAGCCTCTGTCTTTTGCAATTTACAGACGAACTTATAGATATTGTATTTGTATGAGCACGCTCACTCGATCATGGCAGTCGCAATGGCTTCACCTCAGTCGCGTTTCGACTTACCGGGTTTCTCCTTACCCCTGAACTTCACCCCCGGGACGGTACGGCGTGTCATGTTCCCCAATGGGCTGGACGATTATTTCAACTCGTAAGGTAATCGCGGTCTGCAATTGAGTTTCGCAAGCTGATAGAGATAGGCGGTTGGATACGCATCGAGAGATATTGATGATGCGAGCAATGAATTCCATTACCGACAAGCCGGACTGGGACAAGAAGGCCCGTTTTCCATTTGTATCAACAAGCTCGTACTGACTTGCTCAGGTGTTCAATGATGAGATTACTGCCAAATGGCGCAAAGAGATTAAAGACAGTGGAGAAGATATCAGCGAGCGGATGGTAGACTGGATCATCAAAGAAGCACAATGGAAAGCCGGGGTCTTCCAAGATACCAAGCACATTGTCGCATTTGACGTGGGCGTGGTCAAATCCGATGTTGCCATACCGGAAGAATTACGCCAGGCTCTCATAGAGGCCGTATGTCCCCTGGAGGAGATTCCCGAGGACCAGAAAGACTACCATCCTGGAACGGACGATAAGGTCGTGGACCTGGTTCATCCGTCGTTATTTCCTGTGATATACGGCCGAACGCGCATCCTGCCAGACCAGCTCATCGGTCTCGAAGCCTTTGCAAACCACATCGGTGAAGGCGAAGTGCTTTCTGTCCGCCCAAAGCAGGAGTGTGTCACGAAGCAGAGTGATTACGACTACTGGTACCAGAGGCGCCCTCATCGACCCTACAGCCTCAAATTTCAATGGCTACCCTGTGACGTCCACTTTGGACCAAACGATGAATGTCGGATTGCATCGTACATTAACAATCTACATCCCCAGCGACACCGCGGCCTGTACCAAGTCATCGAAAGGATTCTGGCGAAGACCATCCCTATGTGGAACACAACCCTGAGTCTCTTGGAAAATGATTGGAAACGCATTGAATACTATGAAGTTGAGTATGAGGACCATCCAGAACCCGAGCCGGAGGCGGCGGACGAGGATGAAGAGGATGACGACGAATTCTGCGAGAAACAGTGGGAATGGCAACGCAGTCAGCCCATCAAACGACCAGAACCAGGAAAATTTTTCCCGCACCCTTTTTACGACCAGATCAACCTCCGCAAGGAATATGCCGAGCGAGGACTCCAGGTGATTGTGAAGCTAGCGAACATCGAGCTGACGCCAGAGAAACCCGAGTATGAAGGAGGTTCCTGGCATATTGAAGGGCAACTGGTAAGTTCTATCATTGCTGTTCATTCACAAGCCTCAACCTAACGATAAATAGAACGAACATATCTGCGCCACAGCCATCTACTACTATGATAGCGAGAATATCACAGAGAGCACTCTCGCGTTCCGTCAACGGGCCAGCTCGAGCAAGATCGAGGACATCAACTATGAACAATCCCGGCACGAGTTTCTGCAACAGGTCTTTGGCTTTGGGTCTGACGTGGATGGTTCCAATGAGTGCAACGTCACTCAGCTGCTAGGCAGTGTCGAGACGCGCCAGGGACGTCTTCTCACCTTTCCAAATATCCTCCAACATCGCGTGGCGCCGTTCTCACTGGCGGACCGGTCCAAACCGGGCCATCGCAAGATCCTCGCATTTTTTCTCGTCGATCCGCATCTATCTATCATTTCCTCCGCGAATGTGCCACCTCAGCAACAGGACTGGTGGAGAGAGCGGCAGGAGCTCGTTGGCCGTTTGCTTGGGGATAGGCTGCCTCCGGAACTGCAGGACATGGTAAGGAAGGAATTTGATGCTTATCCCATCTCGATGGATGAGGCCAAGCAGTACCGAAAGGAGCTGATGGAGGAGCGTTCGTCCAGGTTGGAGGAGCAGAACGAGAAATTCGAGATGGACAGCTTTAACTTATGCGAACATTGATCATATTATCGGCTGGCTCGTGTGGATAGCCTGGCTAGATCCGAGTGCCACTGAGGATCGAAAATGCAATTTGCTTTTTGTCAACGTTCTACCATTCTATACTTATGACTACCTTGTAGAGAAACTCCAACCTTGCCAACAACTAGACTCTGGAATTGTAAAATTGTCCGTCTTCCTGGATCGAAAGCGACTCGAAAGGTCCTTCCTTGCTCTTACCATGCTTCTTGCGCTCTTTCTCAGCTTTCTTGGCCTCTTTCTTCTCCTGCTTGATTCGCTTTTTCTCTTGTCTGCTGACCTTGGGGAATTCCGAGTCCGGGCCTCGCAACACTCGACCAGGGTGGATGACATTCAGAATGAGCAGAGCCAAGAACATCGGCGCCGCGTCCAGGACATATTCGTATGCCTCGTGGGTCAGAATGGGGTTCGTCGGATCCGTGCCTCGCGCGTACTGGCATAGTCGGAAGATAATTCGGATCTGCCAGATGTCAATATACTCTGTCATTTCAGGATTAGGATATCAACATACGGTGATGAGAGTCAAAGCGGCATATAGCGCCCAAAACAGCCAGCGCCAGGAAATCGAGCCGCGGGTGGTCTTTTCATGGTCCAATTCCCCGTAGTTCTCCATTTGTACCATTCGACGGTGGAGGTGGATTGCCAGGACGCCGAATATCAGCACGAACAACTCTTGGAGTCCGATACCGCCCATGTAGATGTGGATACCGAGCATGGTGGTGCTGGTGGGGACCTCGTGCTGTGTGGTGATGCTGGCACCTGCGAGCTGGACGATAAAGGCGAGGATATCCAGCCACACGAAGATGAGTCCGTATCGGTTGGCGGAGATTCCACCTAGCCGTTGGCCGGGGATAAAGAAGTGGATGAGCCGGCCTAGGGTCATGTAGATGAAGGCATTGATCCCTGCATTTGATCAGTATTCTCTTAGATTAGATGTGGGGAGTCTCGTCATACACAAAGGCGCCAGAAGATATAGAATAGTGTGAGCCGTAGCAAAGGGCACGCTGTCCTGGTGTCGTGTTTGTAGAGTCCGGAATACAAATGCGAGTAACTCCCAGCTGGCTCCCATGATAACCACCCAGGCATATTTCTACCTTGTCAGTAAAGCAGCCTTGGGATTTCTCGATGGGACACCAACCTTTTTGTAGATGAGAGCTTGAACTATGTGACAGAGGGTCGTCAACCCGAACAGGATCGTGAAGAAGATGGCTGCACCAAAGGATGGAACATAGAGGAGAATGGCATCGCAGGCTTCTGGAGGCAGGTAGCCATTTTTGCCTGGTTTTGGATGTGTACAGGTCTCGGTGGGAGATATGGCTGGAGCTGTAGCTGTGGGAGATATTGTTGCCGTTGCGTTCATATTGAAGATGGTTTATAGATATGGTACTCAATTAGAGTCTTTCTTGTCGATGATATTGCGCGGAGGCCATTATACTCATATATATCCATGACATCTGACGTTATTTTGAAGCCTGTCAGGCAGCCAGATAAGACGATATAAAACCGCTGATAGATGATGCTCAGCCATATCAGCCTCCACCAGACATGAAGCATCCAACCCACAGCATGACTTGAATCTTCTTCTTCAGATGTTTCGATCCTTTGAGGTGACAAGCGAGCAGGCCAATCAGACTGTATAAATGAATCTTGGCAAGGACATATGGATACGAAGGAAAGTAATAAAAATAGTCCAGGCTGATTGGCATGGCAATAGGCCAATCATGACAGATCTGACAGGCAACTCATTTTGCACGCTGAATGGACAATTTGTATCTGCTCGCATCCGCTAACTGTCTTAGGCTTGGGAGCCTAAACGATCTGGCCTCGTTTCTTGACTTCGTCTGACATGGTGATAGGCAGCCGCGTTCCACAAGCTTGGATCCGTGGATATCTCCGAGTCGCTTCTCTCGGAACAACTCGCGCTTGGAGATTTGAGGTTGAAAGTGCGCTGGAAGTATCTGAATCGTGATCGTGGGACGCCCTTATATGTATAGAAACCATGCCTCCACGGACAGGAGTCAGCCGGTCTCGCAACGGCTGTCTTACATGCAAGTGAGTCGACAACATGTAGTGCAATTGAAGCAATAATATTCATTCTAGTGCTAGGATACGAAGGGTGAAATGCGATGAAGAAAAGCCCACCTGCCGACGATGTCGATCCACTGGCCGAAAGTGCGACGGCTACGCCAGCCCCTCGTCTAGCACTGCTCGCCAATCGACTGATCTACGAATCATTCAGTATACCTCGCAGGTATCAGAACCAATGAAGATGAGCATGTTCCCTTCGTTTCACCAGCCGCTAGCAGGGTGTGACTACCGTGCGCTGGAGTTTTTCCACTTCCAGACCGTATCCTGTTTCGGACCCAAGGCCGGGGACTTTCTTCTTCGCGCAGCCTATCATGATGCGACTGTGCGAGTGGCTGCCACTGCGCTAGGGTCACTGCATCGCGTGTTTGTGCGTGACGGTGATGGTCCGGCCGTGGCGCAATCGGGATTGACTCGGTATGCATTACATCAATACAGCTCTGCCATCCACCTGGCTCTGAATCAGATCCCTGTAACTGAGGGACAAAGCACCGACAGTATACTCATCATGTGTGTGCTGTTTTTCTGCTTCGAGAGTCTGCAAGGCCACTTTCGAAATGCTGTCCAGCACGGCATAGCCGGCCTGCGAATCCTCAAGCAACGGGAAGAGCGCTTCCTGAACGAAGGAATCGTAGCCCGTCTGCCCCCGAGCATTGTTCGCTTGATGTTTGTCACCATTGAGAATCAAATGCTCGAGGTAGACTGGCAATCCTACCTACCTGTCTCCATCCAGTCAACCCTTCTGTCTCCCTCCAAACTGCCTCCAGTCAACCTGGAGGACACTCCGACGCTCGAGCAGCTCAGTGATTCTTTTCAGTTTTGCTACAACCAGTATCTCAAGTTTCTATACCTATCCCAGACACCCAAAAGTGTGGAGCTGGTCCAAATCCTTCAGCAGAACCAGGCATACTATGCCCAGATGCGACAGCACATGCATGCCTGGTCGGACAAATTCGACGCATTCCTCGGAGCCCACGTGCAAATCCACCAGAGTGAAGCCGACCGCATGACAATCAATCACCTGAAGATGTGGCGGAAGATGATGGGCATCTTCCTGAATATGGATGCGTCGACCTCCGAGGGCGTACTTGACCGGTTCGCTTCTGAATTCGGAGCGATCTTATGTCTGGCGGAGGATCTTGTAAATTCCTCTTCTTTCACACCTGCTTCAAGGTCGAAACCCTCTGTCAGGGTCCAACCATCTCGACAACAACAGAGTCTCCTTCCTACAATCCTCCCCAAGCCCGAATCCTCCTCCTCCTCCTCCTCCTCCTCCTCCTCCTCCTCCTCCTCCTCCTCCTCCTCCTCCTCCTCCTCCTTCTTTGTCGTCTCGCTAGGACTCGTCCCCCTCCTCTGGATCATCGCCACATCCTGTCGACATTCGCAAATCCGCCACCGAGCCATCGACCTGATGAGCCGCAGTCGCCGGCGCGAAGGTGTATGGGACTCGATGCTGTTCTCGACGCTGGCGCGCAAAGTGGTCACTATGGAGGAAGAGGCTGCTGGATTCGCCAAGGGAGCCATGTACGAGCCGGCGGATCTGCCTATTTCTGCCCGGACTAATGCTGTTGCTGGTGAGTTTTGCGAGGGTCGACAGGGGAAGGTTGAGTTCTTTCGGGATGGGACCAAGCTCTGGGAGGAGGTTATACAGTGGTGATATGACCCAGATCTTTTCGTACGCTTTTAATGATAGTGTGAATGACCTTACTAGATGATGAATCGGTTTTACCCGGACAATGACTACTTTTGTTCCTGGCTATGGATGATGGATATGGATACGGCTATGTGGTAGCATCGTATAATACAACTCATCATTATCCCTCTGTAAGGGGCAGGTCTCTTAGATGTTGATCTTGCAGGTATACGAAGTCGTACGGCTCTGCGCAAACGCATCGATCAGACTCTCAATGGCAGCATACGCACCCATCCCCGCCAACGACAATGCCCCAAGATGTAGAAAATATTGAAGACACTCATGGCCAGTTCCTTGGGTCTCTGCGCCAAGAAACCACGGACGACGCGCCGCATGCCCTGATCGTGGCGAACGGTCTGGCCCGTCGCGGGGTCGAAGCCCTCTCCGTCTCGCAGCGCGGCGCGCTTCACCCAGTACGCCAGAGCCAGAAGAGGCGGGAAGCTGTAGGTGAATTGCAGAATACACACGGCAGCGACTACCGAGGTCAGACCGGAGAAGTTGGGGATACCGGCGGCGAGAACAAAAGCGATACCCCAGTAGACGGGGACCAGGATGACCCAGAACAACTTGCCGCCCCGGGTGGTCAACGGAGGACACCGGAAGAGCTCGACGAAAACTTGGTTGTACAGGACTAAGACGGTCAGTACGTGATAACATTGCGCAATGTGCTGCAGACAATACCCTTCAGGCCAATGTTTCCATACAGACCCGCCGCAATGGCCGCACTGAGCATGGCAAAGACGTTGCCGGCCGTTGAGATGTCGTACGAGCCGATCCCCAGGTAGCTGGGGTTGACGTTGTACTGGCCCTGGTATCCGTACATGAACAGGCCATAGAACATGTACCAGAAGTAGATGAACGCCTGGGCCGCCCACATGGCCGTCAAGAAGTCCTTGGGCCGCTTCATCTCCGACATGAACTCCGGGAACACCATGGCACCGCCGTATGCGAACACAGCTTGCATGGCGCCACTGAGCGAGCCGACGAAGTTGCCCGCCTCGGGTAGGCCGCCGGACGTCTGAACGGGAGGATAGACGCCATTCACCGGTGTGATGAGGGCTTTGTTGACGACCGCACCGGCCGACGCCGAGGCGGCTGCGTAGTTGGGGGCGCGTTCGCCGCTCCGCCCATGGTGATGAACATGACGATGAGGTTGATCCAGACGGCGGAATTGGCCAGCCAGCCATACTTCTGGAGAGTACGGATCTGGCCGATGAAGAAGCCGAAGAGCGCCCACACCAGGCAGCAGATGATGAAGCACAGCTTGCTCTTGGACACCTGGTACAGCGCCTCACCGTTGGAGATGACGATGAGACCAACGTTCAGCAGCAGCTGGATGCTCTGTAGCACGTTGAAGAGATATCGCATCCACCGGCCATACAGACGGAAACCGAGATCCCCGAAGCTGCGAAGGGGAATTGGTATGAATCGAGGCCCAGGAACGCTGACCAGAGGAGATAGCCGGAATAGGCAGCCAGGCCACCAAAGACAGTGTACAATGCAACCCCGGGACTATCTTCGTCAGATCTTTCTATTATTCTAAAGAGGCAGACCCACTTACCCCCAACCCATGGTCGCAAAGGCATAACCCAGACCAAAAGGACCCAGGATGTCGGTGGTGATCAGATAGAAGATGGCTCCTCGGGTGGCCGTCCGCAGCGCCCGGGACGCATTGGTCCACTCCTCGTCGGTGATGGTCAGTTGGCCAGCTGCATCGCCGGCGCTGAGCGTCTTAGCATCTTCCGACGTGTTTTCGGGCACCGGCTGGATGCCGCCGCCCGACTTGGAGGGGAAGATGAGGGACAGCCATCCCCGTTCCTTGTCCCCGTTGGGCCGCGACTCTTCTTCGGCACGGGTCAACTGGGCGTAGTAATAGTACTCCTCGAAGGTGACACTAGAATCATGCACCTTGCGGTGTTGCGGACGGATAGCAGCAGTGCCGTAGGCAACGGCATCAAATGCCTCACGCTCTTTCTCATGCAGCCGAGGATCCCCTCCATCGAGGACGACACTCGCTGGCTGAGCCATGACGGTGTATAATGAGCTGAAGAGAAAGAAGAGAAGAAGAAGAAGAGTAGATGAGCAGGCGATCTTTGGAGGGAGGGAGACACGAAGACGAGCAGCTGGGGCCGACGGCTATTTATCTGGTGAACCATTCTCCAGACGCACAGATAGCCGTCATCCGCAGACCAATAATAGAGTAGTGGCATGATAGGAAGCGACAGAAAGTATAATCAGGCCGGGTAGAGATTAGAGTCGGGCGTTCGCCTCCTGGCGATGATGCTGCTGCGGATAAGGTTTCCTATCCCCAGGTTCGAGTCGCTCCATGGCAATCCAGAAACTCGGAGAAGAAGCATGCCGAGAATAGCCAAGGCGAGAGCCGTAAATGCTTGACAATGCTTATTTGCCATGACAATGAGGAGTGGTGGGCCAGTGGGTCTCTCATCGAGATGAAAAGTACGTATGTTAATATCGGCAGAAGCGAGAGTAGGGAAAGTACTCTGTACTACAGATGGTTGGACCACCTGATCCTCTCTCCATCTATCTTGCATCAATCCATGCACTACAATTCGTCAGAAGAGCACTTCTTCAGCGCCGTGGAACAGTAAGATGTAACCCTCCGCAGAGCAGGGCGTGCACTAGATGCCACTATCCAAACTTTGTTAGATTAGGCTCAACCAGAGCAAATTATCCCTCATTCTCCAAGCTTCAAGAAACGTGTCTGCCTATGGTCTTCAGACATCTGTCTAGGTCGAAACAGGAAGGTGTTTTAGCACGGATACGCCATGTGTTCCCTGTTTTTTCCACGCGAGCTTCCCTCTACCTCCTTTTGTCAAGGAGCTGATTGGGATTTGTATCCACTGTCAATTGCCTTTGGCAGGAGTTAGTGATCCAGTAACGGGTCATGCTGCTCATTCAGAAGGAGAAACTGGATGAAGGGACAATTGAGCAGACTAAACTGCTCGGTCCTACTCCGGCATGTTTCGCTAACATATATATATATCTAATAACTCCTCCGTTGTAGGCATATCTTAATAGCTGGATAAGACATGCCTTGACAAATCAAATGGCCTGAGCAGAGAAGATAAGACGGCCCACAGTATTGGTATGGATACTTTCTTTGGCTTCGTCCGTTTGGATAAGGGAACCAACCCACTCACCGTGGTCACGGCGACCGATATTGGTCGTTATGATATCGGGCGTCGAGGACGGTAAGATCGTCCTGCTGGAGATACAAGACCATTATTTCATGTGTGCCCCCCGGACGAGTCGGATCCATCTCTCCCCGAGAATGGGTCAATGTAGAAAGGAAGCAGCAACCAACGCATACTGCGACAATTCCTGAGTGAAGATCTACATGACCTACGACGCCTACAGCTACGCGACAACCAGATCTTAGAGAGCAAAATCGTGCCATGGCTCTCAGGCATCTCCAGACACCCGTCCTCAGTCCATACGCCCTGCTTCATTGCTGAGGTGCAGACAGACAGACACGCCGTATGCAGAGACCTGCCGGCGTACCTCGCCCTCACCGCGCGAACCCCCGATCAGCAGAGTATCGCGAGAGAATCACACGAATGCAAGCTGCACGGCTCTTTTTTCCGCCACACCTGTTTGTGTACGACCATACGGTCAACGGCATGAAGGCGGTGATCCGCTACATCCTCGATGAGTCGGATTGGTCTGAGCGCAAATCGACTCACGGCGCAACTGTTCGTCGACCTGATCAGATCTGGTATCCTTCTCTGCAGCCATATCCCATCACCAACAGTCTACTGCATCATAGTGTCGAGTACTCCGTTTGAACGGATGACAGTGACCCAATGGCTGCGACACACGTTGTTTCGAGGGAGGTGGTCTGGGATCGCGACCAAGGCGGCGTCGTGGGAGGAAGGGATACGAGCAATTTGCGCGACGCGACCGGAGTAAAGTTTGCAAAAACCAGTGGCCGTTAGATGGTGAGCATTTCGGAGGAGGAAGCAAGTTTGCATGAGATGGCAACGTGGACTAGACCGAGCTGGTTGTTGGATGTGGTCAGCATAGAAAACCGGGGGTTCGGAGCAGCGACAGGATGTTTTATGTAATGAATTGATACCTGATACATACCAATGTTGTGAATTGTGATTGGGTCATGTGGCGTATCCTGTGTAACTGTACTACATTTCCCGCATTGGGACGAGGTCACCTGATCATCCGTTACTTGGTGAGTGCCTCAGGAATCCAGGGGACCAGGATGGTTTGTCTCGTCTTGCTCTTATTCGACCAGGTCATCTAAATGATGCATCTGGAAGACCTCAGCTTTGTATTTGATTGCAGACCGATCTGAGTGAATTGCCTAAAACGGAAATAAAACGTTGTTGGAAGCGGCATCACCGAGATGCTGAAGCAGCGGAAACAGCAGCCATGGACGAAAACGGACAGAACAAGGCTATCCGTCCCAAGAGGGTGTGTCAAGACTAAAGAATGCCCATTGTGAGCTTTGTAACCACTGGATGAGGTCGATATAGACAAGAGAGGAAGACAATCACCTCATCCTCATCCTCACTGTCTGCCTACAGACTGTCCTCGATCAACGTCCTTACTAAAGTCCAGTCTCTGGCCAATCCCTACTCCATGGCTGTCGTCATGACGCTGTGGAACTCCAAGGTCATCAAGATCATTGCCGGGTTTTTATTCAGCATCCTCTTGCTCAATGCGCTGATCAGCAATGGAGTCGACTACACGGCAACGCGACATATGGTCCGTGGTGGCCATTCTCGTCGGGGGATGATTATCTGTATAAGACAATTCAAAATGAGACACTTGGAGTATGCCATCTCAAAGCTGCTATTGTAGTCCTGTCTAACGTGTCCAGTTCGAACATGTCTATGCCATTGGTCTCAAGGAGCGTACCGATAAGCGCGATTTCCTCGCTCTGGCGGCCTCGATTGTCGGCTTCCAGGTTGACTGGTTAGACGGAGTGAAACCAGACGAAGTCCATCCAAAGTCACTTCCTCAGGTAATGATCTTTGCTTCTGTCTGGTCTGGTCTGGTCTGGTCTCGCTAATACAGGTTCAGGGAATGAACATGACTATTATTAAACCTACGGTTGCAGCCTGTTGGCGAGCTCATATGAATGCTCTTCGCACGTATGTGGCATCGCACCTGGGACAAACGATTACTGACAACCCGCAGAGTCGTGGAAAAACGGCACGCAACGGCCCTTATTATGGAAGACGATGCGGACTGGGATGTCTCGCTCAAACAGCAGCTTCGTGAATTCGCCCGAGGACTCCGGACACTTTCGCCAACCAAGACCGCCTCGAAACAAGCCCCTTATGGTACTGACTGGGACCTTCTCTGGGTTGGGGGATGCTCAACGGCTGCCGGAGTCAATGAGACCCAATTCTACGCAATTCCCAATGATCCTACGGTCCCAGGCATGAACCGCCGAAGCTTCTGGGTCGACCGGCGGGGACCGCTGGACCAGTGGAAGCACCGATTTCCTCAGCTCCCGAGGAATCAACCCGGTATGTCTATCGCGCAGACACCGGATGCTGCCTTTACGGGTACGCTGTGACCTACAATGGGGCTCGGAAGATCCTGGCCTCGTTGTCGGTTGACCACCTGGAAATTCCCGTGGACAATGCCCTGGGCGACATGTGTGGAGGCAAGAATCGCCCTCGGATCCAATGCTATGCGCCACATCCGAATCTGATTGCGACGCATCGACGCGCGGGCTCTTCATACAAGGACTCGGACATTGAGACCTACGGACAGGACAACTGGCATCCAGACGAGGCGTGGGATCTGGTATACAGTACGAAGCTCAACCTCCATCGGCTGCTGGCAGGAAATGAGACGGTGACGTCTCAGTGGCCAGACGATCATAAGCCATGGTCACCGGCCGAGTTGAAGGTGAAGGAGTTTCAATATCCGCAGGGGTTTCATGTTGCGTATTCCGATGATGTTTAGTAGAGAGCCTGTATGTTTCATTTAGATTTGTAGCTGCCACCGTGTAAAATAGCACTTTGCATAGCACTTTTCAAGACTTTATCCAGTGTAATCAGCTATATTTCGTAAAAGTATGCCCTTAGCGAAAATGCAACGTGAGGTTACTTGTCCCATGTCCACCGCTGCAACCCTTCCGGATGCGAACGACTGGACCCGCACGGTAGCCTTAATCAATAACAATTACTTGTCTTTGTCTGATGAGACACGGACAATGATCACAATGTTCCATTGATTGCCACGAATACTGGATCTTGGGTGTCATCACTCCACTCAACCAAGCAAGCCGTCACGGGTTCCAGGTCATAGTTGTCTTCCATATAGCCTTGTCGGTAAGCTCTCACCTGCTTGTTTTGACAATATCTACTGAAAATGTCTTACACGACTACTCTTTCTGAAAAGGCTCCAGAGGAAGCGGTCGAGCCTGTCAGTTCGACTCTGTCCGACTACGATGCAGATCTCTCGTCGTCCGGCTACACGGAATGTCCGGATCGTGAAGATCGAGAGAAATATGCCGGGATACTAGCAGATACAAAGAAACAAGACAAGGCAGCCCCGGGTCTTCGCTTCATTATATGGACGGCAATCAATGTTACCTCCACCGTTGCCATAGTATGCACTTCACTTCTTAGAAAAAATCTAAACTGACCAGTCCAGGTGTTCACCAACAAATATATTCTGTCTGATATATCATTCCGCAACTGCCAGGTCGCCTTTGCTGCATACCATTTCTTCATCACCGGCGCCACATTATGGATCATCTCTCGGCCACAGTGCGCCGTCTTCATGCCGAAACAGGTGTCGGCAGTGAAGATTATCCCCCTGGCGGCCGCAATGTGTATCCAGGTGATTCTTCAGAATCTCTCGCTTGCATATTCGTCCGTCATGTTCCATCAGTTGGCTCGACTACTCTTGACCCCCGTCGTGGCCCTGCTCAACTACATGCTCTACTCGACCAAGATTCCCAGAATGGCCGTCTCGCCACTTATACTGCTGTGCACCGGCGTGGGAATCGTTTCCTACTATGACTCCCTCGCGATGGACAACACGAGCGCTACGAGGACTTCGTCATGGGGAACGGTATTTGCCCTTGCAGGCGTCTGCGCCAGTTCAATCTACATGGTCTGGATTGGGCAGTATCACAAGAAACTCCAGTTGAATAGCATGCAGCTTCTTCTGAACCAGGCACCAGTCAGCACCGTTCTGTTGCTGCTCACGGTTCCTTTCACTGCGACGCCGCCCTTGGGGGCTGTTCCAGTATCCATGTGGATTCTAATTTTACTGGTATGGATCCCCTCTTCATTGTTCAATCCTTATCTAACGAGTACAGAGCGGCATCTTTGCTTCCTTGGTGAATCTCTCGCAGTTTTTCATTATTGACTTGGCGGGGCCCATCAGTGGGACTGTGGTCGGTCAGCTCAAGACGTGCATTATTGTCGGGCTGGGATGGGCTTTTAGCACGCATCCCATCTATTTTCAGAGCATTATCGGGATTATCCTGGCGTTGGTGGGCATGAGCATGTAAGTCACTAGCTTTGGATAGAGAGCATAAGACTAATGGCTGCCAGATATATGCGGATCATTATTCAAGAGCAGCGGTAATACACTTAGAAGAGAGGTTAGAAGTATCGTCTATCATCATCATATAGCAACCTGCATATCCAATCGAGAGTCTCCTGATATTGTAGAATGGACGTGCATACACAATGCGGCCAATCGCGTGTAGGCCTTCATTTAGCTTAGGCTTAGTTTCTCGGCCCCTCAAATGCACGACAACCTCCTCCAGCCATCCATCCATCCATCCATCCATCCATCAATTCTCATTACATAGAGCATGTCCATTTTACGACTGCCAGATGATGTCCTCTTTCTCTTGGCTGATAATCTGTCGCGAGAGAGGGACATCAACGCTCTTGCGCAGAGTAGCCGTCTGCTTTACCCACCGCTAAACCGGTTCCTCTACCAGAATAATAACCGATATTCCCACAGCTCTGCTCTTCGCTGGGGTGTGTATGGCGGCGCTGAGGGCACCGTTAGAAAATGCCTAGAGCTAGGTGCACCTGTTGATGGTAAACCCAAGTCGGACCCGAACGATGAGGACGAAGACAGCGATGACGACATAAGTGAGACACCGCTGGTGAACATCGCGGCCGAACGAGGCTACGATCGTGTCTTGAAGCTCTTACTGGATTTTGGGGCTAGCCCGAACGAGAACCGTCAATTTCCTCGGGTTCCCCTTTCTTTGGCAATCCAAAATGGGCACGACGCAGCTATGCGAGTATTACTAGCCCGGGAAGACACAAAGGTTACCCTGCCGTCCACCCCATTCAGCCTACAACCGCTGCATTTCGCTTTAGAACGAGGATCTCTGGAATGTGTTCTACTCCTGATCGAGCGAGGGGCAGATCTCCAGCAGTATGAGTGTACAGGCGCTGGGGCACTCCATCCGGCCATTAGAAGCGGGAGTCAAGCTCTGGTCGAGTTCCTCATGAGTCGTGGGTGTAATCCGCTCAGCTGTTGTGGGTATACGGCTCTATCGCTGGCTGCAGTCATGGGACACCAGTCACTGGTCCAGTATTTCCTTGCTCATGGAGTGGATCCGAATATTCGGGACCGTACCGGATTCACTGCTCTCGGGCACGCGGCCAAGGAGGGCCACGCGGATGTCGTCGAGACGTTGCTTGCTTGGGGCGTCGGGACAGAAAAGGTCGGGAGGACGGAGAGACGGCTTTATGCTGGGCGGCCAGAGAAAACCACGAAACGGTGGTGGATCTTCTACTGCGGCATGGAGTAGATCCAAGCTCGCCCAACTCTCGCGGGATACCCCCATCCACTGGGCGGTCACCAACGGTTCCATCCCCATATTCAAAGCGCTCTTGGCCCGTGGCGCCAGGATAGACATTCAAACTGATGGAGAAACACTCCTCCATATCGCCGTACGGCGGAACGATCAGCCGCTGGTTGAAATGCTCATACAGCTGGGCATCGAAGTGGATAAACCAGACAATGCAGGCCGGACTCCTTTAAGCGTGGCTGCCGCGGGCGGTCATCTCGAAACGATGGAGCTCTTGCTCGCCAACGGCGCAGACGTGACTATTCGCGACCAGAGGAGTTGGACACCGTTGCACACAGCCCTCTGGAGACGCCAAGATGAGGCCGTCGAGTTCTTACTCCGACGTGGCGCTGATCCGGACTTCGCAACTGCCCATGGTCCCGATCGACTCATGAACGCAGTTGACAATCATATGGTCCGGGTCACGCGGTATCTACTCGAAAAGGGCGTTGATCCCGATCCTGTAGATCATGCCGGTCGTACCCCCTGCTCATTGCCTGTGAATTTTCCCCCGGGAATGACTGCGAGATAGCTGAGATGCTGCTCCGGACCGGTCGAGTGAACGTCCATGCGCGAATTGCGGAAGGGCACACGCCTATTATGTGCGCGACCGAGGAAGAGAATCCCCAGCTTGTAAGACTGCTGATCGCCCATGGGGCAAATGTCAATGATAAAGACGAGGACGGGTGGAGTTGTCTTGCGAGTGCATGTGCCAGGGGGAACGAGGAGATCGCCAGGATTCTGGTCGAGGCTGGGGCAGACATCAACACCCGGAACAGCGATGGGCAGACTCCTTTACGTCATGTTCAGTCACGGAGGTCCCCTGGGCCCCTTTATGAATATCTGCTTGAAAGGGGTGCAGAGCTTTGATATCAGCAGTGCCATCGCCTGAATAGGACACATTTATGAGCGATAGGTACTGGAGGATATACTTATGAGATGCCTTTATAACACGAAAATAAACAAATGAACAAAAGATCTTATCATTTTGACACATCGAGTGTGTCGAGCTGATAACGCAGCATCCATGCCTCTGTCGATCTCGGCGTATTCTGTGCATTGACATACAGAAACAAAGGGGATTTTAGGTACCTGCCATATTGTCATCCAATCATAAGGATCGATCTATTGAATATTCTTCCTTCCTGGCACTAGCCTGATTAGGCAGCTCATTGGAGAAGCTTAGCGGAAGAAGTAGGAAACTGTGAAGTCATAGTGGCAACTGGCTGGCAACACAGTAAGGCATCTATAGACATCGTCACAATGCATTCGATTCAGTCTCAGGCTGGGATGTGAATACTCATACATATTCCCGCTATCAGCACTCTAATACTCTGAAGATAGATGTCTATATTCATAACTGATGAAGACAGGTACAAGATGCCAAGAGAGTCAGGCACTGACAGCATGATTAATTCTTTTTATGTAATTTGGACCAGATCCTGTTCCTCCCACGCTCTACCAAGGTCCACTACCGTCGAATAATTCCAGTCTCATTGGCCCGGCGCATTCTTCATGATTCCAGACCATATGGGGAAATCCAGCACGAGAGTGGCCACCGATTTTTCCACAGCCTAACCATGTTGGGTCAATCGGTTGAGAGGTTGATGGTGTATGTATATATATATGGTTGTCTGGGCCTGCGCAGTGCCAGAGCTAGGTGTATAGCACTGAGCATTAAGAATGTTCACTAATGACCGTGGGGATCAGGATTCCGGTAAGTGTGTCTGTATATATACAAATGTACATCACAAGAATCTTTTACTGACAGACAGTTCAGTGAGCTCAGACGTGACCATCGTAGATTGGGATGGACCAGACGATCCGGAAAACCCACTGAACTGGTCCAAGGCGAGAAAATGGCTTATCACCTGCATCTCGCTGCTCATGACGTTTGTGTCGCTCATGAACGGCACCATCATCACCGTCGCCCATGAAGCCATCAACGAGCGATTTGGGGTCAGCGATGCCGCCTTCCCGCACTCGTACTGGCCTGTTACCTCCTGGGCCCTCGGAGGCGTCTTCTTCTCTCTGCTCATCCTCCCCATCATGGAGGACTTTGGGATCCGGCGGACGTTCCTCCTCACGCATCTCCTGTTGATTCTCTTCGTCATTCCGCAAGGCGTGGCGCAGAGCTTTGAGACGCTGGTCATCACGCGGTTCTTTGCGGGAGGCTGCGTCACCGTCATCGGCAACAGTGCCGCCAGCGTGATCGGGAACGTGTGGGAGACGGAGAAGCAGCGCAGCAAGCCCGTCAGTCTGTGGATCTGGGCCTATCTGGCGGGCAGCAGCGTCGGCCCGGTGATTGGAGCGTCCATTTTTCAGTTCCTGTCCTGGAGATGGATTTCTTATCTGCAGTTGATCTGGTACGGGGTGTTGTTCCCGATCAACTTTCTGGTCTTCAAGGAATCCCGCGCTGCGGTCATCCTGCACCAGCGCGCCAAGCGATTACGCGCCAAAGGACAGAATGCATATACGCGCCAGGAGCTCGACGCAGAGCCTCTGCTGCAGCTGCTGGCCACGAGCATCCAGCGGCCCCTCAAAATGCTGGTCACCGAGTACGTGGTGTTCTTCTCGACGCTGTGGTCCGCCTTTACCGTCGGCACTCTGTACCTCTTCACCCAGTCCGTCGAGCAGGTGTTTGTGGGACTCTACGACTGGGGTCCTGTGGAGGCTGGATACGTCCAGGCCGCAATTGTGATTGGCGAAGTCGCTGGATGGTTCTTCTCCATCCCCTCGGCCAAGCTCTACTTTGCTTCTGCTCGTCGCAATGCCGAGACGCCCGGTCTCCCCATTCCCGAAGCACGGCTGTACCTGTCCGTAGCCGGCAGTGTGGTTGGCATTTCCGGCGGCATGTTCGTGTACGCGTGGACCTCGTATCCGACTCTGCCGTGGATCGCCCCTGCGGTGGGACTCTTCATGGTCGGCGCGGGGAGTGTCGTGGTGGTCTCCGGACTGGCGGATTACATTGTCGATGCGTACAGTCAGTACGCCGGCAGTGTGATGGCGTGTTTCGTGCTGGGGGAGAATACCTTTTCGGCGTTCCTGCCGTTGGCGGCCATGAGCATGTATAACACGCTGGGGTTCCAGTGGGCCAGTACACTGCTGGCGTTTATCAGTTTGTCGCTGGTCCTTGCGCCGATTGCTTTTATTGTCTGGGGGAGAAAAGTGCGCGAGAAGAGTCCGTATATGAGGGAGGTGATCAAGGAGAAGAGGATGCAGGCTCGCTTGCAGTAGTCTGGCATTCATTTGTAAATAATAGACCCGTGTATATTGTATATACGCTAGACATAATTCATGAGAATAGATTCATGCAAATAGATTCAATCTTGCTTTGGTCAAGGTAAAAATAAAGGAATGGATAAAAAAATGCCTCCGGGGAGGATCGAACTCCCGACCTTGAGATGGCTCAGAAGTGGAGCTTCTGATCATACAGGCATATGAGACTCACGTGATAACCAACTACACCACAGAGGCACTTCTTGTTCGATCGCCACCTATTTTTGATCTATGAGACAGTTGTATAGAAGCCTAAAGGACCACATCATTTCCTGAGATATTTTCAAGCCTTAATAGTTTGAAGTTAGTTTGAGACAGGGATATCTAATCGAATACTGCTTCTCATGAGTTCAATATGCCCTAGTTGTTCAGTTGTCTCCATTATTCTGGGCATAAGCGGTCTTGCATTTAGCCTGAGCTCGCCAATTTCTGTTCTGCTATTAGCCTCCCGTCGTGAGAATTGCATGTGAGGTATATGTGAACCGTCCTCCACTATTCCCCGTCGCTCACATAGAATCAAAAGCAGTCGAAAATACGGCACTGTCTTGCTAGTACAACCAGTCAACTACAACCATATCGGCAATAGATCGGGTCCCGCAATGGCAACTTTGCAAACCAGGACTCTTTTTCGTGGCACTCGGGGTGCTTCCTTTGAGACATTTATGGGGACAATAGCTTTCTGGGGCAGAGACATTCATGAACTATCCTGCCCTTAGCACGGCGTGTCTAGGTGCCTTAAATATAAACGTTACATGTCCGCCATTTTTGAGCCCGGTTGCGGCAAGGTAGGCAGAGTCATATCCAAACATAGCATTGCAGAATCTCGAATCCCCGTCCTGGTTTGCAGTCTTAGGCTGGTTTCAAGTATGCCCTGCCGACACCGCTCAGTACATACTTGCTCCTGTTGCCCTCCACAATTGCAGTAATCATCAAAATGCCTCATGGTCGCTAATTTGGTTTGCTTCGTCAAGATACTGGAGCGAGGACTGTTTGATAAGGTTTTTGTATGTTGGGGGCGGCCCCCGCAGATATTGCAGGAGAAACTTGTATCTTCTGTGCCCATTATTGCTCAACCTCATCAACCTCAAGGTCAGGATCGATCGAGCGGCAGGAGGATGGAAAGTGGACGACAAGGGTCTAAGACCGACTAATTACTTAATCAGGAGCATGTGACTGTTGAATATAAGATTAGAAGGTTTATAATATAGAGAGATAGTATGAGAGTATGTCTGGTTGATTATATATATTCATAGATGATTGTCTAGAGTATTATATAAAGATATATTTTTAGTGGTTAGAAGTACTAGAGCAGCTCTACTATTACCTAGTAGTGCCTCAGGTATCTAGGTACCTAGTTATATGGTTATACCTTAGGGGCCTGCATTACCTGATACACTGCTACTAACGCTGCATTCACACATGTAGATATATGATATCACATATTCACTTCACCTTGCTTATTCCCTGCGATCCAAGGAATTTATCATGTGGAAGTAGATGAGAAGATCTGATTGAATCCCGTTAATGCATCCAGAGCTATAATAAGCTAAATAATTTGGTGGGCTCCCATGAGTGTTGACGTCAGACGCGGTCAAGATCCGAGATATCAGCCCATCGGGCCGACTCAACGTTGCCCACCATGACGCCGAAGTGGACATGCCGAAACAGGGCAGGCATTGAGCAGACGGTAGATAATAATCCGGTTGCTCGACCTCAAAATGCGTTCGAAGTCGTCAAATTATTGACCCCGAAAGGTGATTACTGGTGGACGATGATCACCAAAGTATCCGTCTCGGATCGAATATGCCAGGTCACTTGGGGATGGTATTCCATTTCCATGGCTACAGGAGGTATTGCTGTTCTCCTGTCTAGCACGCCGCATCAATTCCCCGGGTTGAAGACCATTGGCAAGATTGTCTACATCCTCAATCTCGCCCTCTTCCTGGGTATATCTGCCTGTCTGATCATTCGCTTCCTGACCAAGTGCTCCGCGCTGAAAGAATCCTTCCAAGAGCCCAATGAAAGCCACTTTATGGGAACATGTCTACTGGCCCTGGCAACAATCATTCTCGGAGCCGAGAATTACGGAACCGACGCATGCGACCCCTGGCTGCAGGTTGCCCTTCGCATCGTCTTTTGGATCTACGTCGCCCTCTCGACCATCCAGGCCATCTGGCATAACTGGTACCTCTACCATATCCGCATGGCCAGTCGCCAGCCGTTTGCCCTCGTCCGTCTTCTCCCTTCGTTTCCGGCCATGCTGGCAGGGACAATCGCGTCGGTGCTGGCATCGCATCAGCCTCGTCATCATGCCCTCCCCATTCTAGTTGGGGGACAACCTTCCAAGGCTTCGGATTTATCATGTCTCTCTTCATCTACGCCGAGTACTTCTACCGACTCAACAAAGACGGACTCCCCAAGGCATCTGACCGACCAGAAATGTTCATCGCCGTGGGACCATGGAGTTTCACGGCCCTCGCCCTGATCGGGATGGCGGAAGCAGCCGTGAAGCAGTTTCCTGAGCGGTACATCATTTCCTACGCGGACGCCTCTGCTAGCCAGCAAGTCTCCGTCACAGCAGGAGACATCGCCCTTGTGCTCGCCGCGCTGGTCGCTATCTTCCTGTGGACAATGGCGGCCTTTTGTCTTTGCATTGCTGTCCTCAGCGTCTTGGCCCAGTGTCGCGTTTCCGGGGGCACGGGGGCGCTGGGCATGTCGCTTCCATATTGGAGTATGGTCTTCCCGAACACGGGGTTTGTGATTGCTACCATTCGGATCGGACAGGTGTTGCAGTCGCCGGCGATTCTGTGGGTTGCGACGGGGTTGACGATTGCCCAGGTGGTTGTCTGGTTATGTGTGGGTGTGGGCACGATATGGGCTGTAGCTACGCGGCGGATGCTGTGGCCTGAGACTCGGGATAAGGAGTCTTAATTCCATTCAATATGTTTCATTTTGAGTGTGGAGTGTGTCAACTACAGCTGGACATTCTACTCATATAGAGCAGGTAATGAATAAACTTACTTAGAAATGTCCATGCAATGTTCATACGATGACACTGGACTTCTCAAAGGCTGAGACGGCGATGATCGACAGTCGGAAACAACCTTATTTGGCTGAATCATGAGTAAGGGTTTAACTATAGAAGATATTTAGTAGCCAAGTTACGTTAGTCAAAGGAGACCAGGAGCGATAGTTAAACGTGAGATTGACACATTGCCAATCTCGCATGACCAATCAAGTGATAGACAAGGATCGTACTCGTATATTGCTCACAGTAAGCAACTGTCATCATTCGAAAGGGAATAACTAGTAAAGGAATAGTAAAGGAATAGTAATGCTACTAAGAAGGCTATTAGAACAGTCGGATTGGCCATGTTTTTAAAGGGCGTTCTTAGCAGCCTATCAGACCCTGAACTATTTGGCCGCTTAAACTCACAATTTCCTTCAGGGGCGAATGAAACTAATGTATCTATTAATGTATCTGCGTACCTAATAATTTGAATGTCTGTAAATAGAACGGATGTCTTTCTTTCCTTTCTTTCCTCCACCACTGCATGTGACGTGCCTTTTCCTCGTCATTTTCTTTCTGTTATCCACTTTCAACCGGGAGTACCAGTTTTCCTATCACAACAGCTTTAATCTTGATTTAATTTTATTGCCATAATGCTCTTTCGATGAAGATACCATCTCTTGATAATCAGTAATGAATTTACTATCGCTCGTTTTCGGCTTTCTAGCCCTCCTCAGCCTCTTCCTCCCCGCCTCGGCCGTCCGACTCATCGAATCCAACGCCCTGAATATCTGTCAAGACAGCTCGAATTTCACCGCAACCTATTTCAATGTCCTCTTTACTCCTGATAACCGAACTCTGACCTTCAGTTTCGATGGCGTAGCCTCCATCTCTGGCAAAGTCACCGCCGACCTCATCCTGTACGTCTACGGATATGCGATCCCCCAGGACACGATCGATCCGTGCAAGACGGACAAGATGAAGGGATTCTGTCCTATGAATGCCGGTCCCATCGATGTTCCGACCGCCTCGATCGAGGTCGGGAAGGATGTCGTCAGCCAGATTCCCGGTTAGTCTCTTCCTACCCCCCCTCCATCAACCTCCCTCGTCTAAATTGCGGCAGGCATCGCATATACCGTCCCTGACCTTGACGCTACCGTCCGGATCTACGTCAACTCCAGCGCAACCGGCGAGAGCATCACCTGCGTCGAGGCGCGCCTCTCCAACGACAAGACAGTCTACCAGGCCGGAGTCGGCTGGACCACGGCCATCATCTCGGGACTGGGACTGGCCGCGTCGGCATTCACCTCCACGCAGGGCCATTCCAACGCGGCGGCCCATCTGGCCGGCAACACCCTCGCGCTGTTTAGCTTCGTGCAGGCGCAGGCCATGGTCGGGATGCTGGCGGTGCACATGCCGCCGATGGTGCAATCGTGGACGCAGAACTTCCAGTGGAGCATGGGGGTGATTCGGGTCGGCGCGGTGCAGAAGATCGGAACGTGGTACCAGCGGTCGACGGGGGGCATGCCGTCGACGCTGCTGACGCAGTTGTCCACCACGTCGGTGAATGTGCTGAAGAAGCGGAAGCGCGCTGTGGCTGAGAGCCCGACGAATGTGATTGTCCGGGGGATCAAGCGCGTGGGGCTCAAGGCTGCGATCGAGGATACGAACCTGTTCTTGACGAGTATTATTATCTTCACCTTCTTTGCTTTGGTGATTATGATCGTCGTCCTGCTGATGAAAGTGGTCTGCGCGGTGCTGGCGAAAAAGGGACGGACGGGTCCGGCATGGGGGTACTTCCTTGCGGAATGGGACGTCGTGGCCCGCGGGGTTTTGTACCGTCTGGTCTTCATCGGCTTTGCGCCGCTGAGCATCTTCTGCCTGTGGGAGTTCACGCAGCACGACTCGTCGGCGGAGATCGTGGTGGCGGCCATCATCCTGGCCTCGGTCATCGGGGCGCTGGTCTGGGCCGCGCTCAAGATCATCCTGCTCATGCGCAAGTCGATCGCAATGCACCGCAACCCCGCCTACGTTCTATACTCAGACACCACCTGCCTCAACCGCTGGGGCTTCCTGTACGTGCAGTACCGCGCCACCGCCGCCAGCTTCGTCCTGGTCATGATCGGCTACCTCTTCGTCAAAGCACTGTTCATCAGCCTGGGGCAGTCAGTGCCGATCGTGCAGACGGTGGCACTGCTAGTCATCGAGGGCCTGATGCTGATCGGGGTGAGCGTCGTGCGGCCGTGGATGGACAAGCGCACCAACACGTACAACATCGCCATCGCGGCGGTCAACTTCCTCAACGCCATTTTTGTGCTCTTTTTCTCCGGCGTGTTTGACCAGCCGGGGATCGTCTCGGGGGTTATGGGGGTGTGCTTCTTCGTGATCAACGCGGCGCTAACGCTGATTTTGATACTCTTGGTCATCTACGCGTCCGTCGTGGCCGTCATCTCCAAGAGCCCTGATACGCACTACAAGCCTATGCAGGATGACCGCGGCTCCTTCATCCAGTCCAAGGTGCGGCTGGGGTCGGAGCTGGATGACCTAGGCGCTGCGGCTAGGGGGGACATGGCCGAAATCAAGTCTTGATTTACCTATTTGTATATTTGTACATACATGCAAATGCCAAATCAATGAGGACTAATCCTCATTCGAGTCAAAATGCTCGCGAGCCCACGGACTCCGCAACCGGACCACCCGGCCCATGTAGAAAAAACACAAACGGGATGGGCACGAGGAAAATAGTTGTCATTTCTTTGTCATCATTTTGATCCTTTGCCGATGTTGCATATAAATCAGCAGACCAGTGTGTGACTACTGCACAACACACTGCTGACTATCTTCGACTAGCTTCTTCTCGCAGCCCTCTTCGATCAATGGATTTCTCTCGGCACGGCAGATCAACGTGAGATTCTCGGGTTTTCCTCGTGACTTCCATCAACGACCTTCTCCGAAACCGAGTATACCAGTCAACCGATGTTTGGCCTGTAGACGGTTCCAAGCGGACGCAATTGTGGTAGGGACCAGTAAATCTCGTCGTACTTTGCAAAGGCGATCCTACCTGCTGACGTCAGCGTGTCGGACATGGGAGAGGGAGAGAGAAAGGACATCAGCGCGGTGGTATTATCCGGACCTAGGAAGAGCGGCAAGGGCCGTTTGTGGTGGACATCTTGGGTGGATTGCTGCAATAGACAGACAGCCGCACTGTTGTGCTTGTCAGTTATGCGTTATTCTGTTTGATGTGAGAGATTCATCTGAGAATACATCATTCATAGACTGAGCAGATCGGACATACATGAAGTAGCGGTTATTGTCGGCAGTGGCTGAGCAAGATGAATCAGTATACAAGAGATAGAATGCATCTCACGTCATGAATGCAAGGATTGAATCTATGAGGGACGTCCATGTTTTGAATAGGAAATGTGGAAGTCCTCGTCGTGAGTTGTATGGCCATTCTGATATAAGAGTTGCATAATATGTCCATGGTACTCCCGTCTGTTGAGCCTTGCTTACATTCTTAAAGCATTATCACTAAGAAAGATCCATAAAATCACGGTCATCTAGTGTCCTTCCAATCTATATCCATTACATTGGCTGACCGGCACTACTGACTAGGCTCTCGTATCACACATTGCTGGCTACGTTCGTCTGGGCACCATGACACTACTAGCACTTACAAAGATGACTGGCTATCATCATCTCCTCATTCATTAGCAGTATGGCTCTCGTAAGATCATACTCAGATTGGGTACAACGAGAGACGAAGACTGTCGAGATCCAAGTATTCCATCTTCTTGAAGTGTAGTTGGGCCTGAGTCAACCATTTTCTAACTAACACTGGGATAGAGGGTCGATCTCAGGCACATCTCTGCATCTGATACTCCAGACAGTGCATTCGGCAGTTGTCCGGATAAAGTCGGTTCTTGAACTCATGTAGGTATGCCTTCTCTGATCAGATGCTACGGAGGGTCATTCCGAGGCAGATCATGCATGCCATCAACCTGCTTATAACAACGACTTGCCGCTCGTCTTAATCAATCAACCAACATGTCAAAGGATTCAGTCGGGTCATGTGGCCATCTGCATGCCCTATATACTGGTGATGACGAATTTCGACGCCTTCGCAACACTTGCCTGACTGACTCAGTTTTGAGCCAGGTCGACTTCTAACCCCAATCACAGTATTTGTCTCAATAATGGGCTTGCTGATCCATGACCAAGTCTGGCGCCAAGCTGCAAGAATGGAGTGGCAAGTCACACAAGCAGACGCTCCGTCGCTTAACTCCCGATATAGAGCGTCTTCTGAGGTTACATCTGTCCGAGTCTAGACCAAACACGCCGTAGCTAGTTTATTTTTCGCCAATCGCGAGGCCTCACACCAATTCGTCATGAATCCATGGGGTTGTCTCTGCCCGGGGAAGTGTGGGGTAAGCAGGGGGTGATTGGAAGGATTCATCTATGGATGCTGACGGTGGCTTGGGCTCAATATAACTTCATACCTAGGTGTTTCGACTTACCCATGTGAATACATTCCTCTGGGTCCCACTCTGCAGACAGTGCAGAATGCAATTCCTCAGACTCATCTCGTACGGCTCGATTGGTGGACTTGCAACATCCATTTGCGACATCCAGATGAGGACTCTTCATACCGAGGATCTCCTCATTGTCTCATGATGATGATGGTCTACAACAAAAGTCAGGGCTGGAAAACTATATAAAGCCCATCGACGCCGGCTATCCATGCCTCACCATCAAATCACTCAACAAACAGACAGACAGCAAAATGCAATTCAAACTCTCTACTGCCGTGCTCGCCACCCTCATCGGCGTGGCCATCTCGGGCCCCCTCGTGGTCCGCGACGCCGCCACCATCCTCAGTGACCTCAGCACCATCAAGACCGACATCAACACCCTCACCCAGCACTTCAACGCGTTCACCGGCGACCTGTTGCAGGCCCTGGCCGCCCAGGCCGTCGAGCAACAGCTGGAAAGCGACATCGACAAGGCCACCTCCGACGCAAAGGCCACCTCGGCCTTGTCTGCCGCCGACAGCACCAGCGTCACCAATGCTCTTCTGGGCTTGAAGCCCGATATCGTCACTTCGCTGAATGCGATTGTTGCCAAGGTACCTCCACCCCCCTCCTCTCTTTCCCTTCGATCTGATCTGTGTGAGACTGAGACGGGCTAATTGTGTAGAAACCCCAAGTCGACTCCGCCGGCGTGGGCAGTCTCGTCCTCGCCGACCTGAATGCCCTGCAGAGCAAGACGGATACACTTTCCGGTGCTGTCCAGGCTATTGCCACTGCGACTGACAAGGGTACTATTGTGTCTGGTACCAAGGATATTGATGCTGCGTTTTCCAGCGCTATTGCTGTTTTCTCTTGATCATCCGGTGGGGGAAGAGGCTCAGCTAGCGTTACGGAGTATATACTGATGATGATGATGACAATGAAGATTCAGATATGGCATGGCTATCTGTTCTGGATGACTGGCCAGCACGAAGACTACTATATTCCGTCGCTTGTAGTACCGGTACGATCATAAGCAGCATATTTCATGTAGAAGGAACGGACCTGTCGATTCCTCAACTAAAGCGATTCTGATACATGCATGCAAACTAAGTAGCCAACGCAAGAATCCGATCCGCCGCACGCTCAGCGGCAATCACGATATACGCCGAGGGATTGCTAGTGACCATACCGGGGAAGATACTCCCATCCACGACGAACAGGTTGTCGGTGCCGTAAACCTTGGTATTGGTATCCACCACCGCCGTGCCGCCCTTTCTTCCGTCGTCGGTGCCCATTTTGCATGTCCCTGGGTGGTCAATGGTCAGCATGAGTTGACACAAAGTGAGTCTAGCACTTACCCAGCCAGTGATTCGCGCGTCTGGTGCTCGCCGTGATTTCCATCTATAGGAGTTAAGAGTTAGAATCACGGACCTGGTAGCGTTGAGTAGAACATACCGTATTGACAAACTCTGCAGCCGTGATATTCGGCGCAGGATAGGTCCAGTTCAGCCCGACCCCCTTGAGCGCATTCTGCATGTTGATGAGGCCCTGGATGACGGCGTCGACGTCGTGCTGGTCCCGCAGGTAAGGGAGCGTCGAGACGACGGTATCCAGGTTCGCGGTGATGGTCATGCGTCCGCGTGAGGTAGAGCCACGGCCGAGGTATTGGCTCATGACGACGGCGTCTAGACAGTTTAGCTGGGTTTTTGTTTTTTTCATGGGCGATGCAGCACTTACGGTCATCGGCTGTGCCATGGCCTCCTTCCATTCTGGAGGTCCACTGGATCTGCCGGGTGATGCCGTCGGCACCGCGGATTTCGTCGAAGAAACTGATGGTCAGTAAGACTGTGGATGTAGATGATTGGCGACGGGGTACTTACATTGGACCGATGTTAGGGGCGGACTGGGTTAGGACGCCGATCCGATTGTCTGACATGGTCAGAAACGTGCTTCAAATAGCTAGGCCAAAACTTACTGAGATAGTTCGACGCATCGCTCTTGATCGGGTCATCGTACGCGGCGTAAAAGTCATAGAAGACAATGTCGGGGTGCGTAGCAACAGTATCCGTCTATTTTGGTCAGTTCAAAACCGATCATCAGGTAGAGTGACTTACATTGACGTGATCCACAAGATTCATGCCCACGGGAAGGTTGATCCAGGCCGACTTGTCGATCATCGTGGGTCCATCACTTGAGCTCTTCACGATATCCAACTGATCCGCCGGTCCAATACCACCTTGTCCGCATTAGCGAAGTCCCAATGACAAAACAAAAAAAGGCAAAATTACTTCGCATCAAGATCCTAGCCGAGCCAAACGTCCCCGCCGAAAGAACGACACGCCCCGTCTTCGCCGTGACGTTGACGACGCCCTCGTATCCGCCATCCAGGAAGGGCTCCACCTCCACACCAGTGACGTGCCCATCGGCCGTGCGAACCACTCGCTTGACGGTCGTGTTCATCCAAAGCTTAAAGTTGCTTCGCTTGCTGGCAGACACAAGGTACGTCGCCATGGGGCCGCCGCGCTCGCCGTGGGAGAACATGTATGGGGTATGGCCGTAGGTATGGTTCTTCCACGATGGGTTGTCGTTCAGGGTCAGTTCCGTCCAGCCAGCTGCTTGGAGCCCGCCCGCGATGACATTGTAGCCCTGCTGCATGTAGATCTTTCCGTCTGCGGAAGGATGGACGGTCCAGGGGATGCGGCTGAAGACCCGGTTTGTCGGCGAGACCATGTCCTCCGCTTGCCAGCCAGCGGGGAAATTGTAGGTCCAGTCAAGGGGGTATGGCTGTTCCCCGTCATTAACGTTGATGCGTCCATAGATCAGAGAGAGACATACCTTCCACCACAAGGCCGCATTAACCGCGGTCCCTCCTCCCAAAACGCAACCCGCCATCTGGTCGATATCGTCGCAGGCGATCCCTGCGGAATCGTGCCAAATCTGATTGCACAGCCCCGGCACGTCAAATCGAGTCAGGTTAGTCCCAACCAGCCAGTCAGGCTTCATGGTTCCACCCCAACGGCCGGAGGACGGGGCCCCTTCTCGATCAACAACACGCTGTGTCCGGCCTCGCTAAGCCGGTCCGCGACGACAATCCCGCCTGCACCACCACCGACAACGACATAATCAAATGTCGTTCCAGGCGGCACTGGCACTCCGACAGGACCCGTGCCACCACCGCCACCGGAGCAATCACCAGGAACAGTCTTGTTCGCCAGCGCCGCCCACTTCTCATACGACGCACTAGCAGCCGACGCATCAAGCTTCGCCACCCAGATCCCCTGCGCATCGTGCTGCTGCAGCGTAATCTCCGCAGGGCAGGACGGGTTCCCCGGCGCAGCGACGGACTGCGCCCACCCGAGCACCAGCTGTTTGGCGCTGGTTGGCGCAGACCCCGTCACACCGTTGTGGTTCCACGCGAGACAGCCCTGGCAGCGGAAGAGCAGCGTGTAGTGCGTTGCGTTGACGGACGATGAGATCTGCGTGAGGGTTGCGTTGCCGCCGTACACGTCGGGCATGGTATAGCCCGAGCTGAAGCGGAAGGAGGTCAGGATCTCGTCCTTGTACGGCCACGCCATGAGGAGGAGGTTGCTGGTCATGCTTCCCTTGAGGGAGATGCCGCACCATCCTGTTTTGGTGGCGTCGGTGGATGCGCATTGCTTTGTCTAGTTAGCTAGGTGGACAAAGTTGGTTGGGAGCGCCATTACCAGGTATCCGATGAACTCGGTCACGTCTGTCGTCAACGCTGTGCTGGGGAGGGCCACGCCGAAGGTGAGACCGCCTGCGGTCTGGCTCGTGGGCACTGTCCACGTATCAAACGTGATGCCCGTGGCGGGGTCGGTGTAGACCACCGGGGTGCTCGACTGGGCCCAGCATGGTTCCAGCACTAGCCAGAGTTAGCTAACAGTCCAGTAGTTCAGGCCAGTAAATATCATGACAGACCCATGCTGACCGCGAAGAACGCGGCGCAGAGACGGTTGAAGAGCTTCATCACCAGCGAAGCACAGCGTCGGGGGTAGATCAGAAAAGGGCTCGTGTCAGCACTCGTCGAGAAGAGGGCGACACAAGTTGAAATACCAGGGCCGACGCGTACACAGGACCGATAAAGAAGTGTAACATCCCGTCTGGGCATCCATGCTGCACCCTGCCCAGGAGGATCACTGTCACGGTATTGGCCCGGCCTGAGGGAGATCCTGTGCGTAGGACAGAGCATGTTCTGGATAAATTGGATATGTCATTTCATATCTTCCCGCAAGGGGCTCGGAGTCTCGGCGCGGTTTGAGGTTTACATGTCCAGGAAATGCAACACTCTCATTTGCTAGACGAAGCCATTGCACCAGGAGATTATCCGTGGAGTCTTGGAGACGGGTGTCGCGGATAAATAAGACCGGGTAGGTATAGCGCCGTTTCTGGAGATAGGCGATCGGCGTCACAATTACTGAGATGGGAGCGGGGAATTGCTCTGCAGACCCTGAATAATGCGGAGTGCATGCTGCAGACGTCTCGTCTCGGTCTGTGGGTGTTGGATAAATCTGCCGGCAGCATACTAATATCAACGTGGCCGGAGAATACTTGCGGTTGTCTGTCGTGCATGCTTAACATCCACCTATAGCGACGGCCCAGACTCTCCAATTTAGCAAGTGCTTAATATATCGTGCTGACGCCTGAGCATATATTCCAGTCTCGTGCTGATTCTTGAAGAATGTAACTGTTCAGCTGACCGTGCTAGCCTAATGAAACATTAGCCAGGAGGACGTCCATCCACAGGCTATACAGAGGAAGACAGGCGGTTACCTCAATCAGATCATATGGCCCCTGTCAAGTACAGACCATGGCACGATTTCTATAGCATTAGTCTGTCAACCAGTGACGCTTCGGGCCGCCTACCGATGATGAGTGACAAAGCGCTGATCTTATCCTACATTCCAAAACTCATACCAATGTTGAAGCATACTCCAATGTATGATTGAATTCGACATGTATTCCAAAATAATATGTACAATCGCTTCAAAAAAAATTGTCCAGTTTGTTTGGGACTCCAACGAACTGGGAAGGTGTGTACGCCTGGAGGTCGGGTATATCGACAAGATGCAATATGTGATATGAAAATGCAAACGGCAGAGCTTAAGAGCATGTACAAGGGGAGAACTTAAAAAAAAAGAGAAGGCCAGAAAATATGCAATCGTCAGTGCTTGGGCCCGGGACGATACCGGTAGCGACGCCAGTTTTCTCCCACCCACCATGAGGCAACATGAGCGGCGTCCCGGACCCAGTTGGTCACTTCCGGCCCGTACTGTTTTTCGAGTTTGCGGGCCAGATCAATCAGATCAAAGTTCTTGATCGGGTGGAGTTCGTTGGGATCCTTTTCCAGATCCGTGAACCGCCACTCCAGATCGTCGATGAGGGGGATGACGAGTCGGTAGGCTGGTTTGGCGGCGGAGCGCACTGCCAGCCAGGACCCGCCCGTGTTCATCACGGTGAACTGCCAGTCTTGCTTGCCGTCCTGTTCGGGGATCAAGGGCCGAATCATCGACTGGCCTTCATAGAGGGACAGCACGTCCTTGGCCGCACGGGTGGCCTTTTTCTCCAGCGAAGAGGACTCGATCAGGAGATCCAGGATCGTCGGCACGATCTGGTCCGAGATTACGGGCGACGTGATCTCGACGGGCGGGAGTTTGGGGTGCGCAAACACGATGGGAACCTGGAAGCTACCGATATGCGGATTGTCGTAGGGAGTGACCCCTCCGTCGTTGGGAAGAGATAATCCGTGATCGCCGGCCATGACGAGCAGGGTCTCGTCTGCAACTCCTTTCTCCTTGAGAATGTCCATGATCTCCGCCAGCCAGTTGTCAATGAAACCGATGGTGTTCAGATATTTGTTGAGATCATCCTTGGCCTTGAAGTTCTTGTCGCCCATAAAGTGCTGGTAGCTGTTATTTGGCATACCCCACGGATGGTGAGTCGTACCGGTCAGATGGGTGATAAACAGTCGCTTGTGCTCCCGCTCGGCGTCGTCGATGGCATCGCGAAAGTACTCGCGGAGCTCAGTGTCGGGGTATCCATAATAGTTGATCTCCTTCGACTTGACCGGCCAGTGCTTGGCACTGGGGCTTTCCAGCTGCTCCTTAGCGAGAATGTCCTTGAAACCCAGTCGCGGCGTCAGCTCGTTTTGCTTGTCGTAGCCCTCGGTCACGGACTGCATCCACTTGGAGTGCCAGGGCCACGAGGTGAAATCCTTGGTTCGGTTCGCGATGTCAATCTGACGGTTCAGGGCGTTCAGGACATGCGGCATGCACGGTTGGTAGATGTGATGCTTGTACTCGCGGTTGAAGTCGGTCACCAGTGGGGTAACGCCGCAGAGGGTTCCGACCAGGCTCTTGAGCGTGTAGGTGCCCGTGGTGAAGGCATTGCGGGCGCTGATGCCGCCGAACGCTTTTCTACCATTGTGTGCAGCAGGGTCGCGCGGGAAGCCCGAATCAAAGCCGGTGAGATACTCCGCTGTTCGGGTCAACTCGGCCAGTTTGTGCTGCACGGTATCGGGGATGGTGTGGTTCGTGTGGGAATCAGCGATGCGGTTCCACATGAACGAGTCCTTGCGCAGCGGAAAGACGTCCGCGCGGGTGCTCTCCAATTTCAGCAGGATGACGTGTTTGATGCTCACGTTTCCGCTGGCGAGTGCTTCCTTCAGGGGCTCTAGCACGGGATTCTGTAGATTGGGGATGTGCAACGGATCCTGGGCCGGGTTGTAATGTAGCGGTGGAGGACGACGGCGATGATGCGGTTTGTGATCCGGTCCGTGATCCGGTCCGTGATGCGGTCCATGATGCGGTGGATGATCGTCCTCGAATCCCGGATACCAATCCTCGAACCCGGCGATCGGATCGCTCGGCAGCCAATCCCACCTCGGCACCTTATCCAGCGCCGTGCGACCTTCCAGCCAGCGGTAGTCTCCCGGCATCACGTCGGCATCGATCGGTGACCCGCCGCGGTTCGCCGGGGCGAATGGGACGACGGGCAGCGCCCCGGACAGGAACATGTACGAAGGATTGGGGGGCGAAGGCATCGGAGGAGCACATATGCGCCGAAGAAGAGGAAGACGGCCAGACGTTTGAACAGCGATTCGTGATGTCTGACGGGGGTCTCGTGACTCATCGGGTCGAGGAGAAACACCGAGTCTCCGTCCTCACTCTTGTCGTCCAGGTAATCATCCACCGCAATCTGTTCATACCGCTCGGGATCCATGGGACTGGTCTTCCTCCTCCATTGCGGGCAGCGAATACTCCAGATCCGTTGCGCTAGCCTCTGCAGGGGAGTCACCAGGATCCGTAAGACCCCACCCGTGACTCGGTGGACGGGTGCCGCCAGGAACCAGGAGGCGGCAATTATGATGGCTTCCACGATTAGAAATCCTGTCAATCCGGTGAGTAGGGTCCGAAAGGCAGCCGCATCGCTCTGAAAAGTGCGGATTTGTCGCCAGTGGATCTCGGCGCCGGTCACGACGTAAAAGGAGGTGGCGGAAGACGCCATGCCAGACATCAGCAAACTAGTGAGAGAAACAATATAATCAGTTATCAGTGTTTCAGACGGGTTTCAGAAGGAATGGGTTGATAATCTACCTGAATGGCACAGTGCATAGTGCAGCGAGAACGGCGCCAGGTCGCCAGGGGATGGTTTGGGTGAGCAGACGGACGACAAGGATAAAGATGACATCCTGGAAAAAGAAGGTCGGACCCCACAGAAGCAATTTGGCCGGCGGTAATGAGTAGAGATGAGCAGCTATGTGTAAGAATTTGGCCCAGATCAGTGAGATGAAGGTCAGGGTGAAGAAGAATTTCCGCGATACACTCCACCACCGGTCGAAGGTGTGCGCGGGGGAATCTCGGACGACTCGAACGAGTTGATCGACGAGCTCGGAGAGCTTGGAGAAGTGCATGACGATCAAGGAGAAGATGGCAGCTTCTCAGCGATAATGATTATGTTATGTTATGTTATTTTAATCGGATAGGGGAACTCGCATAGCCCACGACGGGGCACGCGATCAGCAAGAATTGCTACGAGAGGGAGACATCCGCATTCAACAAGACGAAGAACGCATCGATGAGGATGAGAAGATGACGAAGCTCTTGTTGAAAGAGGAGCTCGCAAGGAATGAAGAGTCAAAGAGATGTGGCAATGAATGGAGGAAAGGAGAGGATGACAGTAATCAGAAGAAGAGAATTTATCGGTGTCTTTTAAGAGGAGACGAACGATGTCACTCTAAGTCGGCCTTGGGATTAGCTTGGAAGCTCTTTGGACTCGAGAATCCACTCTGGGCAAGGCAGACACTAGGTACTACTACTCCATCGTCCGTACAGTAGTCTACAGCGCCGGTAGGAGCCGCAGGATTGGGATGGATTACTAGATTACTAGGGACTATTGAGATCAGGCACAGTTGGAAGACCCTCCGCCACACAGTTTGAAACACGAGATTGGAGACATGGATTCAACTTGACCCTGGAACCTAGACCCTAGACCCTGGGGCGTTGGATTTGGCCCCTGATTGAGCGCCAGTTCTTGCCCGTCAGAGGTAAGAAAGCCTAATACGCCAATGATCGGTGGGAGAATCATCCAAGTGGAGAAGATGCCTTATTTTAGAAGTGCGGAGTCCCTGAAATAAACGGCCCCAGGCTCCCAGCAGCTGATTTTTTGACTTTCACTTGAAGACGAAAGCTCTATGATATTGACATTCTATACAGAGTATTGTGTTCTTCTTGAGCATACTGAGATGAGTGGCTAAGATCAATCACCATGAGGCAAGATCCTGACTTCGGTTGCCTCCTTTTGGATCCTTTTCCCTTTCATTTTATGCCCAGAATAGACGCTTTTTTTATGTGATCCCTAGGCTAAACCCAAACGGGCAGGATGACACACGCTCAGGGTCAGACCCAGTGATCCCTTTCCTGTTTGGGACTGGCCACACGGGGCAGTGTCTCTAAATTTGGCCAATCACATCTAGCAATGTGTCAAAGTAATTCCCAAGTGTTTTATGATTGGTTCTCTTTGCTCGGCTATCCGGAGTCCTGTCTCATCTTCCCCTCTCTGGCCTCAATGCTCGAGGTGATGAGTGATCTTGATTACTATTACTTGGAGACATGGGGGAGAACAAAGGATGACAGATCACACCAGGACATGGCGTTCTTAACTGTATGTGCACCCTCGTTCTCTCACAGGAGTCAGGACTCGGCCTGAACTACAGTTGATGGAGTCTATTCCATCCTTCGTTGGAGATCCTCTCGGACAAACATCGGTGAGATCAGAGGGGCAGTTGATCGTGTGATCCTGACCTATCAAATTAGCTTGCTTCCCATTAGTCTGGTTCTATATTCAATAGATCATAGGCCATCGTAAGACCAAAAAAAAACACTCACCCTTTTGCAATAATCATAGACAAAAGCATTGAATTGACGAGTCCAGATAAGCTTGCTCTGTAAGACAGTTGATGTAACATTGACACTGCGGAATTATGCATTCATATCATCCAGCATCAAAGTGATCGAATCATCGACCTCGGTCTTGGTGGTAAAGCAATAACGTGCTCAGCTTATGACAGCGTAGATCTCATGTTCGGCTTGAACCGCGATCCTCGGCGCCCCTTCTAGAACTTCTTAGCTGTTTGAGAAAATGAACTTGATTTAACAATGGAGGGCTTGACACAGCCATAGTACATATCCCATCGAGAGAAAATCTGCCTCAGTCACTTACTTCGGCTGGGACGCCTAAGGCCGTCTCTGCGGTCCCGTGACTTAAACATATATTTGTACAGCGAACAGTCAACACACTCTTGACCTTGTCACCAACACACAGCCAAGGCAGCTTCATCAATCGTCATCAAACGTCAATGGCATCGAAGAGCATCATCAAAAAATGTCAGCACCGGCAGAACCCCCGGCTCTTGGCATATCCAAGCCTCGTTCAAGAATAGTCCTACTAGGTTACTACAAGGCTGTGTACAAGACAGGCCACGTCCATGTTGGCGTTTCAGACATTCAGAAAAGACATCCATTACATACTGCAAACGCAACTAAAATCGGGTTAAGTTACAGTTGAGAAGGGGAGTAAAGTACATGTTGCGATTATTAGCCGGAAAAAAAAAGAAAACAATTTAGGTATGCACAACTCCACCCCAACCTAGGAACTCATGGCCTTGGCCATGAATTCCGACAACTCCTTCGCTTTCTGTCCTGTCGTCATGGTGAAATGGTTCGCTTCCTCCATCACATGGATTCCGCCAATGTTTTGTGGTCCGACCAGAGTATCCCATTTATTTGGCCCCAGATCCGTGCGGTCGTTGAGCAGCCACTTCATTTCTCTCGGGTCCTCGGATCCATCCTCTGCAGGCTCCGGCCGGGGATCGCCTGGCTTGCCGCAGACCCCGTCCTTGGCCCAGATCAGGTAGGTCTTGGGTATCTTCTTGGCCCATTTGCTGTCGTTGAACGGCAGGGGAACCGCTTTGTAGGCATCCAGCGAGTCGATGAAGGCAAGGAAGTGTGGTAGGAGCCAGTCGGGAGGCGCCCGCTTCCCGTCGCCAAAGAGCCCGATCGAGTTGAAGAACTTGTAGAGACGAGGGGGCAGCTTCTCCAGACCGATGGGGAAGGGCGAGTCGAGCAGGAGCAATCGCTCCACCTCCTCCCCTTCCTCCAGGATCAGCTGACGGGCCGCGTCGAACGCGCAGATGCCACCGGCCGACCAACCCCAAAGCTGTAGGGTCCCTTGGGCTGCCGGCGGCGGATCTCAGCGAGATATGGCTCGGTCAGTTCGTCGAGACTGCACGTGAGGTTCTGAGGTGTCTTCATGTAAGGGCAGTTGAGGCCGTAGACACAGACATCGGGGGAGAGGGCCGGAATAGTCGCGTAGGAGGAGGCGGAGCCCGAACCGTCTGGAAACATGAAGAGCCTTTTGGTGGCGGTGCGGGGGTTGCCCTGAAGAAGAATCGAGCTCGCCGGAGGATGTTGAGTGGCCTTGGGTTTCTTGTTGTCAATCCTCTCGAGGAGCCTGATGGGTTCTGAGACAGGCGTAGCTGCAGGGACAATCTTGGGCTTCAGATCCAGAGCAGCTTGGACCGCATCGAGTGTCGGGTTCTCGAGGAAGAACTCCGAAGGCAGGTCAATGTCAAGTGTCTCTCGGATCCGACCGAGCACGGTCAGGGACAGCAGAGAGTCCATGCCCATCTCTGGCAAGCTGTCGCTGGGGTCAATGTCTTTGACCGACACCCCGATCTCCTCGGCGATGATGCTGCAGATGCTATTCCAGACCTTGTTTTGTCCATCCTTGGACGCCACTTGCTTCACAGGAGACGGAATTCCAGGAGAGGTAAGTCCGCTGGAAGCTTCGGACGATGCGTCGCTGTTGAAAGAGAACTTGGACTCGGGCTCGCTGGACGGCTCGGGGCTGCTGCTGTCGCAGAAGCCCTTCTCCGCCAGGTATGCCTTGAAATCCTTGATGGTCGGATAATCCATGAACACGGACGATTCAAGATCAAGGTTCAGTTCTTCACGGTATCTACCGGTCACTGTCAAGGAGAGCAGCGAGTCGACCCCGTAGTCGGCAAAGTTGAGACTGTCGGTCATTTCAGCCTCGGACAGACCAACCTCCGCAGCCAGGATCTCTAATGCCCGTGCAACCACTGGTGATGCAGCACGTGCGTTGCTTGGGTTGGGCTTGGGAGGACCAGTGACCCTGATAGGGGGAGGAGCTTTCTTCTCCCCAATGGGCTTGGCTGACGACGGCGCACTGGCGGTCTTGGACCCTCCGACTGGCGGAAGAACCGTATCCAGGATCTTTCGAGCTAACGCTTGGAACTATAGACCGATGTCAGCAAAAATCTTCTGTCAGTTGATGCCTGGAGATATATACCTTAACCCCCCCGTACACAGCGATAATCTCGTCCCCCTCAAAGACATAGACGTCGCCCGCCCAGATGGAGTCCTTCCACGGCTGCATCTTCACATATGTCTGGTAAGTAGCGTCGCCGGAGAACTTCTTCAGGCAGCGCATGGAGTCCCATCCGTGGTTGACGAATACCTGATTCTTGGAGTCGGTCGCATCGCTGGCGTTCATGATGAACCCAGACAGATGGCCGAAACTGTCGATCCAGAAGGGGTTGCGATGGAAGTTGCCCGCAGGGGCTTGGAACTTGACGCGCGCCGTGGCTTCGTGCTGATTGCTGTCCAGGATGACTTCCTGGATGGCCTTGAAGTTTTCGTCATAGTCCACCAGAGCAGCAAACAGCTTGTACACCATGCCTCGCTGCATGCGGTGAGCCTCTCCGGTCTGCGCCTTATCCTGCAGGAGAGAGACGCTTCGCTTGATCAGGTAGGAGGTTCTCTTCCACTCTGTCTCGCGCTCGGCGCAGTTGAAGAGCTTGACAGTGCAATTGGCGTGCTCGACCGTTTTCTTGCCGTCTGCGTTCACAGACCAGACTTGCACGCTCGCCTTCTGCTCGGCCCAGCTCATCACCGCCGAGACCCTGAAGAACTGATCACCAGACTTGGCTATGAGAGGCCTAGGCACTGTCATGTCGCAGACATCCAGACCCAGGCCCTGGTACTCTGGTTTGTATTTGGTGATCAAGTGGTCGACGAGCGTTTGCGCAATGTCAGCGTAGAGAGACTACATATATGGAATTAGCTTTCTCATTGAAGTGGTGAGTGCAGTCAAAAACTTACCGATGGCGTAAGAGCCACTCCATTGACCTTGTGGCCCTGAATAACACGATTGAGTTCTGGATCCGCGATATTATTCTCAACCACCAACGTTGCCGTGTTTCCGTCCTCTCGGCATTCCACAATCTTCTGCGCCGCGGTCGTGAGGAAGGTAGACTTGGGAGCCGATACCTCCGCGGTAACCGGAGCCCCCTTGGTAAGGCAAAAGTTGTTCGTGTAAGGGATCCAGTAATTCTTCAGGTCCCAGCCGTACCGGGGTAAATCAAGCACCTCGTGGGCCGAGCTGAAGTCCTGGTGGAATTCCTTCCAGTTGAGCTCGACGCCTGCAAGGTGCAATGTCGAAAGACAGTTGGAGAGGATCTTCCATGGATCGTCATCGCGGCGGAGTGAAGGAACGGTAGCCGCCTGCGGACCAAAGGTGGACTTGATCATTCCTGAGCAGATAGGATGCGAGCCCACTTCGACCCAGAGTGTGGCGTCATTCATCAACTTGGCGTGCCGAGTCGCCTCAAGAGCGCCAAGGAAGTTGACTGCTTCCCGACAATGCTTTACCAAGTACTTCGGGCCAAGGACGTTGTAGTTCGACTCCGTGATTACCTCTCCGTTCAGGGCAGAGACGAATGGGACCGCGGGCTTGTGGAAAACGACTCCCTGAGCGCTCTCTTCGAACGAC